AAGGTTTAGGAGTGTGTTTATGGGAATTTTTGACCATTCTTCCAGAAGCGCATTTGTGAGGTCGCACACTGATGTTGGACGAGAAGGCCTGGCTCTCAGTCTCCGCTCTAATTCATCCCAAAGGTGTTCTATCGGGTTGAGGTCAGGACTCTGTGCAGGCCAGTCAAGTTCATCCACACCAGACTCTGTCATCCATGTCTTTATGGACCTTGCTTTGTGCACTGGTGCACAGTCATGTTGGAAGAGGAAGGGGCCAGCTCCAAACTGTTCCCACAAAGTTGGGAGCATGGAATTGTCCAAAATGTCTTGGTATGCTGAAGCATTCAGAGTTCCTTTCACTGGAACTAAGGGGCCAAGCCCAGCTCCTGAAAAACAACCCCACACCATAATCCCCCCTCCACCAAACTTTACACTTGGCACAATGCAGTCAGACAAGTACCGTTCTCCTGGCAACCGCCAAACCCAGACCCGTCCATCAGATTGCCAGATGGAGAAGCGCGATTCGTCACTCCAGAGAACGCGTCTCCACTGCTCTAGAGTCCAGTGGCGGCGTGCTTTACACCACCGCATCCGACGCTTTGCATTGCACTTGGTGATGTATGGCTTGGATGCAGCTGCTCGACCATGGAAACCCATTCCATGAAGCTCTCTGCGCACTGTTCTTGAGCTAATCTGAAGGCCACATGAAGTTTGGAGGTCTGTAGTGATTGACTCTGCAGAAAGTTGGCGACCTCTTCGCACTATGCGCGTCAGCATCCGCTGACCCCGCTCCGTCAGTTTACGTGGCCTACCACTTCGTGGCTGAGTTGCTGTCGTTCCCAAACACTTCCATTTTCTTATAATACAGCTGACAGTTGACTGTGGAATATTTAGGAGCGAGGAAATTTCACGACTGGATTTGTTGCACAGGTGGCATCCTATCACAGTTCCACGCTGGAATTCACTGAGCTCCTGAGAGCGACCCATTCTTTCACAAATGTTTGTAAAAACAGTCTGCATGCCTAGGTGCTTGAATTTATACACCTGTGGCCATGGAAGTGATTGGAACACCTGATTCCAATAATTTGGATGGGTGAGCAAATACTTTTGGCAATATAGTGTACTTCACAATGTGCTGGATATTGCAGCTCATGCCGCTCGTCATGCATTATACGGTGAAGAATCGGCCAGTAATGTGATCAGCTAAGCACAGCGTGTTTAATTCCTCAAACTAATGACACCAATTGCCTTGAGCAGTAGGTGAACGTTGGAATCATGAGGGAACAAACTATTACAGGTGCGGGCGGGAGTTGGACTGAAAATCATAATTCTTTGCGTGAGCGAGTGGGACTGAACACTGTGGGACCGGGTGGGCGCGGGACTGGAAAATCTGTCCCATGCAGGCCTCTAGTTCAAAGGAAAACCAGTTGATTGCATTGACTCACTGACTTTGGTGCAAGTTCCTGGGGGCCCCATAAAGCTCTGTTTACATGTATGATTAATACAGTTATTCCTTATTTTTGCACATTGTGTTTTTGATAACCCCCGCCCCCCTTCAGTGTCCACCATATTGGATCAGTCCATTTGCTGCACATGTTCAGAAAGGTCCAAACAGACAGCATCAAACCATTTGAAAACAAACGATATGAAGAGCAGTGTTGCCAACTTAGCGCTTTAGTCGCTATATTTAGCGACTTCTCAGACCCCTCTAACACTTTTTTTTTTTAACATTTAACTTTTTATTGAAATTTTTACATTTATTTACATATACAGTGAACTTGAACACAACACATCCACCTCTACCCAAAATAAAAAGGAACCAAAACTGTTGCTCGGGGGCTTGTACTCATTATTACCTTATTGTCTCTCATTTTCAAAGGCCTTTATCCACTTTTGTCGCTCTCTGTTGTCCTGAATACAGTCCATTTTGTCCATTTTTTTTCCATTTGTGCTTGTTGCAGTCTCAATCTGTGTGTCAGTTTTTCCATAATATAAATTTCTTCCACAATTTCAGTCCAATGTTCTTGGCATGGGGGGTCCTCTTTCCCCCACTTCCTCGTGATCGCTTTCTTACCCGCTATTAACAGAATCTTAGTCAGGTATCTATCTTTTACCGTAATCTTGGTGTTATTAAAATTACATAGATAGAATACCATGCTACTCATAGGGATATCATACCCCAGTATCCTCTTCACAGATACATAAACATTTTTCCAGAATGCAACAATTTTTGGACAGTTCCAAAATATGTGCGAGTGATCAGCATTCATCAATCCGCATTTTCTCCAACACTCTGCGCTTGTATTACTATATTTATTCTTGATTTTAGGCGTGATGAAAAAACGTATAAGGTTCTTCCATGCAAACTCCCTCCATATCCGCGAATTAGTAGATGTCTGTTGTGTTTTCCACATATCTATCCAGTCTTTATCCGTAATTGTCATATTAAACTCTTGATTCCCATTTCTCTTTAATATACTTTGTAGAATGCCTATTCATTAGTTTTTGATATAGTGTAGAGATGGTTTTCATTTTAGTTCCATTAATAGATTTAAGTACCACTCCAATCACACTATTCCTTTCCATCTTAGTGTCCCATTTGATGTCTGTCCTGTAGTAGTCTCTCATTTGCAAATAGACCCCTCTAACACTTTGATTTTTAAAAAGCGCCTAGCGTCAAATCTAGCTCCTTTTTTCTGCTACTGGAGACTTTGGCGACAACAGATCATGGCTTGTCTACTTTTTCTTTCGCCTTTTTGGAAACATTAAATGTGGACTATAGAGACTTTAAAATATTCCTTTTGCTTACAGAGCGACCCACTTAGAGCAGTATACCAAAATGTTTTATTTATAAAAAAAAAAAAAACATCTTCATCTGTCAATCTGCTCTATCCAGAACTCGTCAAGTGGAAAAGTTTTACCTTTACTTGGTTAAATTTCATAAAAAGTCATCTTAAAGGAATCTTTTGCTATCAGATTATTAATCAAAAAATATTTGCAAAATGATAGTTGGTTCATGGTTTCCACAGGTCATTGAAAATCATTAAGTCATTAAATTATATCTTTAGTCATGGGTACTTTTTAATGGCATTAAAATTATATCTAAGAACATTAAACAAATTAGAGTTAATCATTCCTGTATAAACCCTGTAGAAGCTTATGAGGCGCTGCTGGTGCTGCCCTAGACATGCTGGAGGACCTTCTGATGCGCCTTGATGCTCGTCAAGCATTCACTCTGCATGGAGACCAGCTGCTTCTGCTGCTCAAAGCGCTTGCGATGTGAATGTAGCATTAGAGGCTGCGAGAACATTCTAGAGAAAGATGTTTGATAGTGAATTCTGCTCAACATCAGAAGGCAACAGTGTCCTGGTCAGAGAGGGGCCCCGATCAGTCCCTGAAGGACAGGTCTGTCCTAACTTGCACCCCATGGAGGAGAACAACCAAAACCACTTCAAACTGGTTTAGAGCTGGACTCCACTGAGGAGACAACGAAGCTCAGGACTGCAGCCAAGATAGTGGACAGCATGATGTTGAAATAGTGGGAGGTGTCCACTCTAGAAGCAGCCTTGAATACTCAGACTACACGGAGACCAGCTGACCCAGAGTGTCCTCTGAAGGACTCTGACTGAGCAGATGTTGTGTGTTGCAGATCAAACACCTCCACACCCTTGGCGCAGCCTCCCTTCACTGTCCTGCCAAGGTCGGCAGAAGGACGGTGTTGCTGGTGGAATCTGTCCTCACATCCCCATCCAAGAAGCTGGCAGGTGGGTAAGGTAGATCCAGCCCGTTCTGATGGACCATCAGAGCCCGTTGGTCGGTGTAGAACCGGCAGAGAGGAGTTCTGATTGGCTGGTTTTCTTCCAGATGGTGAAGAGGATCTGCCAACATCTCAGCCTCTGACCCAGTTCAGGGACAATGAGTTGCCGTCCAGCGTCAAAGCCCATGGAGTCATCACATTAGGTGAGGTGCCACAGTGCCTGGTTCCGTTCCGGCCTTGTCCCGATAATATCTGGTTTAGATCAGGCTTGGTACTGATTAACCCAGTTCCACACGGGTCCGATCCGACTTGGTTCTTATCAGGCCCGGTTCCGATCAGATCCAGTTCCAATCAGGTTTGGATTTCAATCAGGTCTGGTTCCAATTATGTTTGGATTTCAATCAGGTCCGGTTCCAATCAGGTTTGGTTTTCAATCAAGCCCCAATCAGGCCTGGTTCCAATCAGATTCCGGTTACTAACAGATTCCGGTTCCGATCAGGCCCGGTTTTGATCAGGTCTGGTTCCAAACAGGTTTGGTTTTCAATCAAGTCCCAATTAGGCCCGGTTCCCATCAGGTCCAGTTCCAAACAGGTTTTGTTTTCAATCAGGCCCTGTTCTGACCAGATTCAGTTCCAAAGAGGTTAGGTTTTCAATCAAACCAAGTTCTAATCAGATCCAGTTCCAATCAGGTTTTGTTGTCAATCAGGCCCTGTTCTGACCAGATTCAGTTCCAAAGAGGTTAGGTTTTCAATCAAACCCGGTTCTAATCAGATCCAGTTCCAATCAGGTTTTGTTGTCAATCAGGCCCTGTTCTGACCAGATTCAGTTCCAAAGAGGTTAGGTTTTCAATCAAACCCGGTTCTAATCAGATCCAGTTCCAATCAGGTTTGGTTTTTAATCAGGCCCTGTTTCGTCAGGTAAAGTTCTAATTAGGTATGGTTTTCAATCAGGCCCATTTCCGATCAAGTCTGGTTCCAATCAGGCCCGGTCCCAATCAGATCCGAATTTAATTAGGCCTGGTTCTGTTTAGGTCCGGTTCCAAACAGGTTTGGTTTTTAATCAGGCCCCAATCAGACCCGGTTCCGATCAGATCTGGTTCCAAACAGGTTTTGTTTTCAATCAGACCCTGTTCTGATCAGGTCCAGTTCCAATCAGGTTTGGTTTTTCAATCAGACCCGGTTCCGATCAGATCCAGTTCCAAACAGGTTTGGTTTTCAGTCAGGCCCCGTTCCGATCAGGTCCAGTTCCAAAAAGGTTTTGTTTTCTGATCAGGCCCAATTCTGATCGGGGTCAGTTCTGATCAGGCCCGTTCCGCATGGGTCCAATAGGACTTGGTTCTGATCAGGCCCAATCTGGTCAGGTTTGGTTTTAAATCAGGGCCCGTTCCAATAAGATCCGGTTCCAAACTGTTTTTTTTTCTCCATCAGATCCGGTTCTGATCAAGCCTGGTTCTCATCGGGCTCAGTTCTGATCAGGCCCGGTTCTACACGGGTCCGGTATGACTTGCTTCTGATCAGGCCTGATTAGCTCCGGTTCCAATTAAGTCTGGTCTTAGATCAGGCCCGCTTCCGATCATGTCCTGTTCCAAACAGGTTTTGTTTAAATCAGACCCGGTTCTGATCAAGCCCGGTTCTGATCGGGCTCAGTTCTGATCAGGCCCGGTTTTGCACGGGTCCGATGCGACTTGGTTCTCATCAGGCCCGATCAGCTCTGGTTCCAATTAGGTCTAGTTTTAGATCAGGACCAGTTCCGATCAGATTTGGTTCCAAACCGGTTTTGTTTTCAATCAGGCTCTGATCAGGCCCGGTTGTGAGCTGGTCGGTTCTGATCCGGCGGTCCTCTCTCCAGGGAAGCTGTGTCTGCAGCAGGAGAAGCTTGCCCAGAGGTACCTGCCAGTGTTCGCCCGGGAGCTGGAGGTGGGCCCAGACGTGGCGGTCCGGAACAACGTGGCAGTGATCATGTGCGACCTGTGCGTCCGCTACACCAGCATGGTGGACCTGTACATCCCCAACGTGTCCGCCTGCCTGAGGGACAACTCCGCCGTGGTCAGGGAGAACGCCCTCATCATGCTAACCAACCTGTTGCAGGTGGGCATCAGGAGGTTCTACTGCTGCCGGGTTCTGTCCGGGTTCTGACCCACCATCTCTGTTTCCAGGAGGAGTTTGTCAAATGGAAAGGCTCCCTCTTTTTTCGCTTCATGATGGCACTGGTTGATCCGGTTCCTGCCATTGCCAGGTGAGTCCAGGTCTTCCTTCAGAACTGGTCAGAACTGGGACTGGTCCAGAACCCTGACGCTCCCCTTCCTGTTGCAGCCTGTGTGAGTACTGCCTCCTGCACCGGCTGCTGAAGAAGAACCCAGAGATGTTCAGCCAGCACTTCATCGAGTGCATCTTCCACTTCAACTCCTACGACAAGCACACGTCCTACAACAAGTTCCCCCAGAGCGACAGGTAGGCCCCTCCCCCAGAGCGACAGGTAGGCCCCTCCCCCAGAGCGACAGGTAGGCCCCTCCCCCAGAACAAGACTGAGGCCCCTCCCTCAGAGCAGTTCTGGTCTCAGCTGCTGGTCCTGGTCGGAGCTGCCGGTTCAGGTCAGAGCTGCCAGTTCTGATCAGAGTCACCAGTTCGGGTCGGAGCTGTTGGGGAGATCAGATGTTTGAGTGATCTCACTCGGTGTGTCATCAGTATTAGCTTCTTAGGTTAGCCGTTAGCATTAATTCCCATGCACCTTGTTATACAAAATGACAATAAAAGTCATCTAAATCTACCAGAATCACCATGGAACTCCTGAAAAGGGTCTCTGATTGCAATCGGACCACAGCTCAGCCAGAAGTTCTAATGCTGGATTCGGGGTTCTTTAGACCTGTTTAATCAGGAAACCAACATCCTCTCTGGTTTAGTTTGTTTCTGTGTTCCATGTCGCCTCAGAATCCATCTTTGTTTTGGTTCTTGTCTGTTTTAGATCAGGTCTGGTAAATCAGATCTGAAGGATCTGCGCTGCTCGGTGTCCCATCTGCTGGTTTTTCTCTCTCTCTGCCACATGTTGGCGTCGTTGAGTCCTCTGCGCCTCCTTGCTGTCGCTACCAGGACAGATAAATGTTTTGTTTTTTTTATGTTGTGTGCAGAGAGAAGGCCCGGTTCTCCCTGAGGGGAGCTCAGAACAGGGAAAAGCGCTTTCGGATTTACCGCTTCCTTCTGGAACACTTCACCGATGCCCAGCGCTTCAACACCACCAACAAGATCAGCCAGACAGTCTTAGGTGAGCTGGGTCGGAGTGTCCAGGCCCATCTGGAGAAGGTAGGGAGAATCGGACCTCTAACAGTTTGTCTTTTGCTTTCCCAGCATGCTTTGCAGAGGAGGAGCTGCCTCTAGATTCAGATGGAGCTGAGGTTCTGTCGGAGGCCTTCAACGTTTTGAGTCTGAAAGAGTTTAAGCTGCAGGCAGTGTCAGCACCAGCAGGGGGAGCTGAGGAGTCAGAGGAGGAGAACGTGGCCACCATGACCAAGGTTGTCCTGCAGGTTGCCCAGAGGAAGGTGGTCTCTCAGGTCCAGAAGAAGGCCTTCATAGAGAACACAGTTCCTCTGATCATCAGCCTGAAGAACCTTCTGGAGCAGAAACGCTCCCCTGTCCTTAAAGACCTCATGGCCTACCTCCAGGTGAGGGCGCCCTGCTCCTCAAACACTCCAGTCTCCGCCTTCACACCGAGCTTCACCTCTATGTTTTCCTCCAGGTAACCATGCAGGACTATAGGAATGAGGTGAAGGAGTTCTTCGCTGGAGATGAGCAGCTGGCGGCTGAAGTGGAGTTTGCTCTGAATACGGCAGAAAAGGAGAGAGAGATGGCAGAGAAGATGGAGAGCTGCAGCCTTACGGCGAACGGCCCAACGACCCTACCCAAGGTCAGCCTGCAGACCCAAGAGATGGTGGGATGGTGGGGTTCTCAGATCCAGGAGATGATGGGTTCCTCAGATCCAGGAGATGATGGGGTTCCTCAGATCCAGGAGATGATGGGTTCCTCAGATCCAGGAGATGATGGGTTCCTCAGATCCAGGAGATGATGGGTTCCTCAGATCCAGGAGATGATGGGGTTCCTCAGATCCAGGAGATGATGGGTTCCTCAGATCCAGGAGATGATGGGTTCCTCAGATCCAGGAGATGATGGGTTCCTCAGATCCAGGAGATGATGGGGTTCCTCAGATCTAGGAGATGATGGGGTTCCTCAGATCCAGGAGATGATGGGTTCCTCAGATCCAGGAGATGATGGGGTTCCTCAGATCTAGGAGATGATGGGGTTCCTCAGATCCAGGAGATGATGGGTTCCTCAGATCCAGGAGATGATGGGGTTCCTCAGATCCAGGAGATGATGGGTTCCTCAGATCCAGGAGATGATGGGTTCCTCAGATCCAGGAGATGATGGGGTTCCTCAGATCCAGGAGATGATGGGTTCCTCAGATTCAGGAGATGATGGGTTCCTCAGATCCAGGAGATGATGGGTTCCTCAGATCCAGGAGATGATGGGTTCCTCAGATCCAGGAGATGATGGGTTCCTCAGATCCAGGAGATGATGGGTTCCTCAGATCCAGGAGATGATGGGTTCCTCAGATCCAGGAGATGATGGGTTCCTCAGATCCAGGAGATGATGGGATCCTCAGATCCAGGAGTTGATGGGGTTCCTCAGATCCAGGAGTTGATGGGGTTCCTCAGATCCAGGAGATGATGGGTTCCTCAGATCCAGGAGATGATGGGGTCCTCAGATCCAGGAGATGATGGGATCCTCAGATCCAGGAGTTGATGGGGTTCCTCAGATCCAGGAGATGATGGGGTTCCTCAGATCCAGGAGATGATGGGGTTCCTCAGATCCAGGAGATGATGGGGTTCCTCAGATCCAGGAGATGATGGGGTTCCTCAGATCCAGGAGATGATGGGGTTCCTCAGATCCAGGAGATGATGGGGTTCCTCAGATCCAGGAGATGATGGGGTTCCTCAGATCCAGGAGATGATGGGGTTCCTCAGATCCAGGAGATGATGGGGGTCCTCTAGAGGATATCTAGTTTTGGCTCTATTGGTTTTTAGAAATGTTCTACCCCAGTGTGAGAGGAACCAGTTCAAATCAGAGCTGAGCCTGAAAGGTATCATAGGGATGAGGCTGGACCATGTTCCTGGAAGTTTGGTCCTGATGCTGAGACTAAAAGTTCCTGACTGACCCTGAAGGTATCACTGCTCTGGTTTCTCCCCAGGGTTCAGAGCTCCTCTCTCCTGCCAGGAGACCCCTGCTGCCCTTCAACTTCACCACACCTCAGCCGCCTCCTCCAAGCTCCGGCCCATCCAGACTGGCCCACACCGACCGGTAGGTTCCGCTGGGTCGCCACATCTGCTCCCAGATCTGTAGCTGATAGAATGCACCCATAGATCTGTGTTAACATGTTGTTCTGTAGCAGGCCTGTCCGCCCGTCCAGGAAGGAGGACCATTGTCGCACTAAATCGATGACTCCTGACAAGACAGGTAGGAGCTGAGCTCAGCTGGCCTCTGGGCCCCGTAGAACCGGGCTAGACCCGTCTGGTCGCTGATCTTTTCTTCCTTTGTTTCCAGCCATCGTTAGAGGAGGAGCTAAGGATAGAGCCGTCAGCACTCCCAAAGGTACGGGTCCTCCCCTGCACGCCTCCACAATTTGTAGATCCAAAGTTCCTCATAGCAGATCCACCTACAGCTTCTAGTCTAGAAGTTCTATACCATGGTTGTGGAAATCTGAAGCTTTGAATATGTCTCAGGTTTTGAGATCAGCCTGACGTTCAACGAAGGACTCAGCGCCATCCTGAGTGACCCAGGAACCAGTAAGATCTTTTAAACCAGGCTGGTTTCAGCCCCTTAGCATCAGAACAGTGGCCCGCGGCGCTCTGTGATGAAACACGGTTTGTTCTGTTCCTGCAGGTTTCAGCGGAGAGTCCAGCATCAGATCAAATGGACAACCGTAAGTCTTCCTCCTTCCCTCTTCTTTGTCTGACCCTGAAATTCCACATTCTGCATTATTCGCTTCTGCAAAGTAGCGCTAGAAGATGGGGGAGCGGGGAGGGGCCCGAGAGTGTGGGTGTGTTGTTTACACAAACGCCTACTGATTCGCCGACCCTTACCTAGACAGGAGTAGGAATGGCCCACTCTCTATTTATTCACTGGATTGCTGATTGCCCGTTGGCAGTACGGGGTTAATGTGAAGCCACCGGCTGCCATATTGGTACTCCCTAGTTAGACCGGTCACAATGTAAACAATCCATTCAAACCGTTTTTTAGGGCGACTTTTAAAATAAAGATAAATTGATCACTTTGACACACTGGCTGTTTCATAGCATCAGTAGATTACTTTAACTTATAATAAAAAATAGGCTCATCACATTGCGTAGTCATTATAAAGTTAATGAAGTCTATAAATCATGTAATATAACATATATAAATCCATCACAACAAAATTTATGCATTAATGGAACATAATAATTCAGATGTATTAACAATGATGCATTAAATGATGTAATATACATGTATTGATAAGATTTTTATGGTAATTACATCTTACATGTCTGGTAATACATGTGATGTATATATATTAGTGCTGTCAAAATTATCGCGTTATTAACGCGTTAACGCGAGGCCATTTTAACGGCGATAATTTTTTTAACGTGAGATTAACGCTATGTGGTTTTATGGTACAATTTTCCAAGTACATCCCGCTGCAGCCTGCGGGAAGGCGGGGCTATTTTCCCCCAGTGTATGCATTTCTCATAGGCTTCGAGAGCGGACCTCAAGGGAAAAAGACGCTCATACACTGGGTGACGCTAGTGCCTTTTCTTTAAGCTCCACCTCCAACAAACAAGTTGAGTGTCTGGTAACTAGTAGCAACCTGAAATACGCTGAGAAAACAGATTACTGAGGTGAAATGGAATCTGCTACGGCACTCTTGCTCTGTGTACGCCACAGGTCGGTATCGTGTGTGTGTGTGTGTGGGTGGGTGTGTCTGTGTGTGGGTGAGTGGGTGTGTGTGTGTTCTCATTTTTGTTAAGAGGCTGAAAAGTAACTTTCTAGAGCATAGACTACCTTCATCTAGTGATGTCGGTCTATTGATTTTGATGTATTGATTGAAAATTGTTCATTATTACCTTGGTTAATTAACATCTAATGTTAACTCTACTAAATTTTATAGCAGTAGGGTAAAATGCTTGTCTTTGTTCAAAAGACTGTATTAACTGTAAAGACTGTCTTTTACATCAGCCTGTTTTCAGGGCCTTTTTTTTTGGCTACATATTTGTTATTTTTTGCTACATGCCTCCCCATCTTCTTGCCATATGTTTCTATGGCATAAATCAGTATCTGTGACCTGTTTTCATTTTAAAAAAAGAACATTGGCACAAACCTAGCCTGTATGTATTTTTTTGTATGTCATCGAGAGTATTTAAATGATTTTCAATCAGGAAAAAAATGTGCGATTAAAATGCGATTAATCGCGAGTTAACTCAGGCATTGATGCGATTAATCGCGATTAAAAAATTTAATCGATTGACAGCACTAATATATATAGAACAAGAAGAAGAATACTTGTTTGTCCAATGAGCGATTTGTCCATGATTACCTTACGACGGCCTACTGAATTTCAAACATGTTGGATTTTCTCCCAACCTTATGGCTCCTGATCGGGAGGTGGTCCTCTTTACACGCACGCAGACTACCTGGTTTTGGAACGTAAACCAGGCTTACAGCTTTCTTTGTTTTGGTAATCCAATCTCCAATTAGGATTTTTTCTCCAACATGTAGCTAGTACTAAAGAAAAAAAAAAAAGGGAAGCTAGATTTCTGACACCAAGCTTTGGTCTGAGTCCAAAGAGGTTTGGGTCAGAACCAGCAGTCTCAGTGGTAGAGTGCTCACAGCACTGCAGATCTATTGAAAGGTAAGGGCAAAGGGAGCGTGGCCTAACTTTACTAACCAGCATTGGGACGTGAAGCCAAGCTGCACTCGCCTCTAATTTGTCTCTTCCTCTGACTGTAAGTGAAGTTCTGTGTTGTCATGGTTACGCTCCATTCCTGTGATTGGCTGTTTTTCAGAGCTCCTGGGCCAAGGCGCTGGAACGTTCTGTCCCCTCTCCGCCAGAAGATGAAATCTTCTTGAATTTAGACGTTTGTCTTTCCCTGATGTCCATGGTTTCCTGTTGGTCTTCATGTCTTAGATCTTCCTCTCCTTATATGTTTGCTAATAAATGGATCTAAAGAAATGTCCTGCCTGAAGTTATTTGAAGTGTGTAGAAGAAAAGTGTTGGGCGGTGGAGCGTTGCATGATGGGTGAAACCGGTTCTGTTTTGGGATGGTAGAAGAAGAATTGGGTACTGGTCTGGTCCACTGTCCTCATCCAGCTGGGAAGGCTTTGGCCCGTTCTCCTTCACCTTACAAGGATTGAAAGGGTGCTTGTTCCAGGTGGTACCATCAGAACCTCAGTTCAAATGGACAGAACCTTCTGGCTGCTCAGAACATCCGCTTTTCTTCATGGTTCTGTCAGGCCAGAACCCTCCCAGTCGGCCCATACTGGTTTGAAGCGTCTCCACGTGTTCTAAGGGCAACAGAGAAGAGGGGACATCTGTGATCAGATTTACCATCTAAACAACCCGAGGAGCCGCCTCTGGTTCTGGATGGACAGAAAGGGTTCTGGTAAGAAAGTTAGTTGGCCTTAAAGGAATAGTACACCCAAAACATGATTAGCCTTCATTTTCTACTCACCCCCATGCTGAACAAAACTCTGGAGTACTTTTTTGATATCTCAAATGCATCTGGAGATCTGGGAGGCTTCTTGCTGTCTGCTGACATTCAAATAATGGAGGTCTATGGCGCCCGAGACAGAAAGGTCCACAAAAACTTGTCAATATTCCTCCATACTGCTCGTCCAATGTAATCCAAGTGTCCTGAGTGGGTAGCATCCAGAATTTACTCGAAACAAAGTCATTTAGAATGTTTTTAGAGCATAAACAGTAGTGTATAGGATTTCCTAATAGCGCCCCCATGCGCGCTCGCGATTCTACGGAAGCCGGCAGACCAAACCAGCGCATTCAGCTCGGCAAAGAACTCATGCTCTTCCTCAACACTGAAGTCCTCAGACATTTTTCTTTCGTTGTTTCTTTCTTTGCACAGGTAAACAGCACATTTCTTCTTCTACGCTTGCATTATCGGCAGACCAGACGCTGAATGCGCACTTTCTTCCGGTTTGGTCTGCCGGCTTCCGTAGAATCGTGAGCGCGCATGGGGGCGCTATTAGGAAATCCTATACACTACTGTTTATGCTCTAAAAACATTCTAAATGACTTCGTTTCGAGTAAATTCTGGATGCTACCCACTCAGGACACTTGGATTACATTGGACGAGCAGTATGGAGGAATATTGACACGTTTTTGTGGACTTTTATGGACCTTTCTGTCTCGGGCGCCATGGATCTCCATTATTTGAATGTCAGCAGACAGCAAGAAGCCTCCCAGATCTCCAGATGCATTTGAGATATCAAAAAAGTACTCCAGAGTGTTGTTCAGCATGGAGGTGAGTAGAAAATGAAGGCTAATCATGTTTTGGGTGTACTATTCCTTTAAGACCGTTTGGGTCCTCAGCTATGACATCACATTTATTTCAAAACCCCCGCAAGCAAACTAAACCTACTTGCATGTATGTTAAACTACTTCTGCGCATGGTTTATCCACCACCTCACAATAGAATCGCACACGTGTGAGAAGCTCCCGCTTCAGGAGAACATTTCTTTCCTTTTCTATTAAGCGGCCTGCGCTCTCGGACTTATTTTCTCCCCACACAAAGGAAAATGTGCTTGGACATTTTGGGCTGAGACAAACGTCTTCTGTAAGCCGCCTCCTGATTGGGCCTTGCAGATACGATACCACGGGAAGTAGTGTCAGGAAGCCTTTGACTGACAGCTTGCCATTCATAAGTGAAGACAATGGCTGGAGGCAGGACAGTGGCAGAGGCTTCTCCAAGGTTTGCGGTTCGTGGGGCAAGTGGAATTCACAACTGTTATTGCCCCAAAAAAGCACAATTATTCCTCATGGAGCAGTGCTATCTTTGAATAAACAGCTGTAAAACGACATACAATGACACTAATGTTCGTGTCTGCAAGGCCCAATCAGGAGGGGGCTTACAGAAGACGTTTGTCTCCTCCCAACCTGTCAAAACACATTTTCCTGCTCGCGAGGAGAAAATCAGAGGGCAGAGATGCTTTCCAGAGCGCAGCCATCCTCGAGTGTGGCTGCTGAATAAAAAAATTGTGCACGCGGTCCCAAGCATGATCCACACCATGTGTGGGAGGAGCTGCTGCGTGTGGAGAGCCATTTTCTCCTCTGAAAGCAGCAGTTTCTCGCGCATGTGTGATTTATTTTGTGCGGTGGTAGATAAACCATGCCCTGAAGTAGTTTAACATACCTGCGAATATGTTTACTTTGCTTGCAGGGGTTTTGAAATAAATGTGACGCCATACTCAGACTCCTGTCAGCTCAGGTCATCCGATCATCCTGAGGCCAAAGTTCTCAGAGCAGCTGGACTGTTTTACCTCCCATAAGAAGTTCCCCCTTTAGATCTGAACCTCCTCTCCAGGTCTGCTTCAGATCTAAATAAACCATTGCACCTCCAGGACGGATAGTGCAGTTCTATGATGTCCAAATAGGGACTGATCCACTGGGGAAGAGGTACCAGAAATCCAGTTTAAATGTGTCAATCAAGGCAAGGCAAGTTCATTTCTACATGCATGAACCTTTCAAAAGTGCTTTACATGAGTTAGACAATTAAATAAAACAGCAAATAAAGATGAAAACACAGTAAAACTAATCAAACATTTCAACCATAACCTTAAACTAATAAAACATCAACAGTTTACCTTCATCAGTCAAAGGCAGCTCTAAACAAATGGGTTTTTAACTTTGACTTCAAAGAACTCTGGCTTTCAGCATTTCTTTTGGGAGTTTGTTCCAGATCAATGAAGCATAGGAACTGAACTAACTAACTTGGGGCATGTTGGCCTAGTGGTTAGAGCAGTGCGCTTGTGCTCTGAGAACATTGCAAGTACCCAGTTCGATCCCCACAGCCTGCACTCTGGGTTCCTGAGCAAGACCCTTAATCCCACATTGCTCCTCGGGCGCCCCACAATGGCAGCCCACTGCTCCCCAAAGGGATGGGTTAAATGCAGTGAGTTAATTTTTTTGCTTTGTACTTCTGAGAATGCAATGACACAGTTGATTTCTATTCTAAATGCTGCTTCTCCATGTTTGGTTCTAGCTCTGGTTGGACAAAGTAGGAACTAGAAGACCTGAGTGGTCTGGGAGAGTGACCAACTATGTATTCAGTGATTTCAGCATTTTAAAGTCTATTCTCTGAGCTACAGGGAGACACTGGAAGGACTACAGAACTGGGCTGATGTGATCTACTTTCTTAGTTATTGTGAGAACATGGGCAGCAGCATTTTGGATCAGCTGCAGCTGTCTGATGGACTTTCTTATGCAAACCTTTAAATGATAAATGCATGAATGTGTTTTTCTAGATCCTGCTTGGACATTTCCCCTTTAATCCTAGAGATGATTTTGCGGTGATAAAAGGCTGACTTCGTAACTCCCTTTATAAGCCTCAAGAGGTTCAGGTCTGAGTCCATCATGACAAGATTTGAGCCATAATCAATGGTTTCTTGCTGAAGCTGTGAGCTAAACGTGCATCTCCCCTTTGGTCTCAAGATTATTACCTCAGTATTGTTTTTAATCAGTTGAAGAAAATGATGGTGCATCGCCATATTGATGTTCTAAGCATCTAGCCAATGCTCTGATGGGTTCAGAGTCACCTGGTGACATTGGGATTTAAAGCTGTGTGCCATGTGCATAGTTATAGTAGCTGCTATGGTTGTTTGCTCTAATCTGAGCTAAGGGGAGCATGCAGATATTGAATAGGAGGGGACCCAGAATGGAGCCTTGAGGGTCCCCACGTGATTTTTCTGATGTCTGATTAAAAGTTCCCTGCTGACACATAGAGGTCCCTGTCTTTATGGTAGGATTTAAAGCAGTCCTGTACCGGAAAGGCTGGCCCAGTTTTTCTAGATGCTCTAATAAAATCAATCGATCAATACTTTCAATCGCTGCACTGTGGTTCTTCATAATCTTACTCAGTGGTGGATCTAGGGGGTGGCTACTTGGGCTACGGCCCTGGATGTTTCCCCGAGAGCCCCGGATCTCGCTTCTGAGCTGATCTGAAGAATGAATCTCGACAGAAATAATAGTCAGTTACCAAACACAGTTTTCCAACTCGTGTGTGTTCATAATTTTTCATTGCTGATATGAGAGGATGGAAACTGGCTGATAACAGGGCACAACAATTAAGACTTCCTGAAAAGATTAGTGTGTAGACTTTCTGGTAAATCACGTTCTAATGTAAAATATGACAGATTACTGGATTAAAAACATTTTAGTATACAACATGCTATCACACATAAACAATTTTAGAGAATTTAGAAACAGTTACTCTTTATTTCCAAAAAATATGGGAGGAGGAGAGGAGAGAATGGATATTTCAGCTGCCTGAAATAATCTGTTCCCCCTCCATAACATGGGAAGGAATAAATTGACCTGCAAGTCTTTATCTGTCTTTATTCCTCTCTTCACCAACAACAAACCCTGAGGATTTGATGACATTTGATCATTATTTGCCAGAGTTATGGACGGGAATCATATATTTTAGCCACCTGAAATAATCCGTTCCCCCTTTGATGATCCATATTGAATGTATTTTCTGTTAAAATGTTTATCTAACAATTTCCAAATATTCCCAAAAAAGTTAAAACTAAAACCACTGGACTTTGTTTTCCAAGTTTGAAGATGTTTCGCTTACCATCCAGAAAGCTTGCTCATTTCAAACTGTCTTAAGTAATGCTACTCTAGACAATTTGCATTGAGAATACATTAAATAAAACTGATCAAACCAATTCAATTCAGTTTATTTCTTAACAGAGGTCACAGATTGTTGGTGTGGGGTCCGGATCTGGACCCACCTGCTGGCTAATCCGGACCCAACCTGATTTAAAACATTCATAATATACCGCATGTTGTCCGACAACAGTGTCCAATTTCACTTGCGCTGCTTCTCCTGTTAATATGGTAAAGCCCCCTGGAGCGTCCAGCTCCAGGCTACACCTGATCCAAATCAGCCAATGATCAGTCTGGGTTGCTGCTGCTGCTACTTTTAGACACAGCAGGCAAACCTGTGGCAAGCCGGGCGATGGGAAAGAAGGAGAAGATTATGAGAAAAAGAGAGCAGAGAAAGTGTGGACTGCTGGAAGAACTGAGGTTGTGCTCAAAGGTGACCCTGCACATTTAGAGGATGTTTGGCTCAACCTGCTGCTGTGAAGCAGGATTCTCCACCATGAACAGAATAAACAATAAATATGGATCCAGGCTCAGAATGAGCTCCTTGATATGTGCTTTAGAATGGCTTAGTCTCCATTCAAACCAGGTTTAAAGCCTTGCAGTGCAGCATAAAGCCCACTGCGAACATTAAGACAGAAAAAAGAAAGAAAATAACAGTCAGTTCAGGTGTTTTGTGTAAAGATGTGAATCAGGAAATTGTCTTTATACCAAACTGAACCGATTGTTGTTCTCTACTTCAAAAAACACTTTAGATTTTAATTTTTCTTTATTTAAAAAGTCAATGTATAACATGGATGCATAAAATCGTCATTTCAGTGTTAAATTTTGTTTAAAGTAACAGATTATAAATAAAAATGTCTCCTGACCTTTACTGGTTGATGATTTTCTTTATTCGGACCCCGCTGATTTTTAATTGGTTTCCCCTGATCTAGAAACTGAATCCTCTGCAGTAGAACTGTTTTGGTTCTGCTTAAGCTGGATCGGATATCTGGATAAATCCTAAAATTCCCCCAAGCGGCCTTTAGTGGATCATCAATGTCTGCAGGCAGGACGATGTTGGATGGAAGTTTCATACGGATTCCACTTGACATCCCTGAGCTAATATAAGCAGGTAGATGTGCTGGCGTATTGTAGCTCCGCCTCCTTCTCCACCATGGCCTCTCAGGGGTTCCCTTTTCATGCTTCTTTCAAATTATTCTACACATGCGTTTATCTAATCATGGATGTCATGTTTATGCTTCTGATTAACGCATTAAATGTACATTTTCTTATTAAATAACAGCAGAATCTATTCCTCTTCTCCTCTATTCCATAATAAACGAAAACAATAAAAAAAATTTAAAAAGTACATTTTCTGTTTGTCATCTTTAATGATAATATATTGATGTGAAGAAATCATAACTGTATTTGCTGAGTTCAAATTGAGCGGCTGTGTCCTCCGAAGGTACGATTCGTCAGCCGATTATGTTATAATGCGGCATCGAGGCCTGTTCGGATTGGAAGACTCCTCGGTCGTTTCTCAATTCACAAGAACGCAAGTACGGATTGTGTCCTCGCCAAGTATTTTCTTGAAAAACACAGGAAAATCTGGACTTTGGGAGAACGGTTGCACGCAGAATAAATATGGGTCAATTGTAACAGAAGCGTACTGATGACATCACCACATTCGAAGCTCATTTGGAGCTGCATTTCACCTCCTGTTATTAATAGTCTCTAGATAATAATAAATGATTCCTTTTTCTTTTTTTTTATTTATTTCTTTTTTTTAAGTTATTGTTTTTCTCAGACAGATAGAGAAAAGCACCCGTTATCTTGTTACAGTAAAATGGATCAGAAAAAAACATATTGTGTCCACTTATCAGCAACTGTCCAGCTCTTTCTTTTTTTGTCTTCCCTACACAAATAACCATAAAACAAGGCAGTAATAATAATAAAAATACTAATAAAAAAAGTAGTCCAGCAACAATGTAAATAAGAAGCCAGACCTACAACATATAACATAAATCACAAAACCACACTGAAAGTCTATTATAGCAATCCTGTTCCTGTATCTAATAACATATAAATAGAAAGACAATTGAGAAAAACAATTGAGCTAGGAATGGGCACCGCACCTCATTAAATATGTCTTCCCTCACAGCCACCCTGTAGGTGACCATTTAACTTAGAACCTGTATCCACTCCTTAAATGTTGACTGAGTGGGAGATTTTCAGAGGCGTAAAGTTATCCTGCAGCCTGTTGTCACAGCTGTACAGCACCAAGACTCCTGATGTTTTGACATTTTAATATTATCTGGATGTAATCCTGACAAACATAATGCAGGGTTTTTGACCAAAAGTCTGCCCAACACCTGATTCACAAACAAAATAATCGCATTCCACATGTCTTTAGTTTTGTCACTCATATAACATACGCACCAGAGTTCCAAACATTCCATTACATCTCTAACATAAGTCACTGTCGATGAGTTTTAGTCTTGCCAGTTTGGAAGAGGTCAAGTTAATATCTTATAATAAATTAGTTGAGACTGTGGTTCACGCGAATAAGTGCCATGATGAACATCATTTTCTGGAATCTCATGAGCTAGATCCCTATCCCAACAGGCTTTAATCCGCCTGCATACTTCTAATAAGTTCCTAGAAATGTGAAGCTCTTCTGTTTTTCTCTCTAGTCTTATGGGATATTGCCTGGATTTCTGTCTGACTGTACTGAATATTTTTGTTTGAGAAAATGCAATGTCTAATTTGTAAATATCACCATAATTCTGAATTGGACAAATTCTATTTTGTTTACCGGATCGTGAGAGGGGACTGGTATATCCATCTGTGAGAGAAGGCCTCCACCGAGAAAGGATGTACCGACTGTTCTTCTAGCCTGACCCACAGCGGGGTGCTTGTAGTGGGCAGGTGAATTTTAGATAAATGCAATAAAGAAAAAGGCAAGTGATACCAGCCTTTTCTTGACAGTGCTAAACACCCCCTTATCTTTTGCAGTGTATAATTTAGTCAGATTAAACTTGAAATGATTCCTTTTACATTTAATTCAATTTAGTGTATTTCTATAGCGCCAATTCAACACACGTCATCTCAAGACACTTTACAGTTCACCAGATCATCCAGTCAAAGTGATTCAAAGTTTTCTATCTAAGGAAAACCAGTTGATTCCATTGACTCAAATACAATCCCTCACACTAAGCATGCTTGTAGCGACAGTGGAGAGGAAAAACTCCCTTTTAACAGGAAGAAACCTCCAGCAGAACCAGGCTCAGTCTCCTGAGACCGGGAAGATCTGTTACCTAGGTCTGGAAAGGAGGCAGGGAAAGCAAAATAAAGCATTATCCTCACTGCATGCAGTTAGCCTAGCCTTGTTGCTTAATAATTCTATAAACCTTTCTCCAACCCAGCTCCCATGTCAGAGAATAAAGAGAGCACACCCAGCCAGTCACAGTCAGAGAAACAGGACTACACTGGAAAACAGGCCTATCTCCAACATCTAGAAACAAAGGTGTTGATGGCAGCAGAACAGCTGATATTTCTCTCCAGGATGGAGTCACAGCCAAACAGGAACAGACGAGGCGAAGCTGCTATGAGAAAAAGCAGAGAGAGCAGAAAGTTAGAGATTGAACTAACAGAGTGGGAGAATAGAGATAGTGGGGGGATAATGATTTACAGATAAGCACAAATCCAATTAATGTTTTGTAAAATAAAACAGTCAAACCTCCATCAGAGCCAGCGGTACTTCACATACGGCTATGTAGAGAGAGGGCTGCTGTAGATGGGCTAACGTTAGCCCAGGCTGCTGCAGACTGGCTGTCCTTTAATAAATAGATAGAAATAAATAAATAAAAAGAAAACAGCAGTGATAACTTCGGCATTCGTTCTTTGCCTGCTTTGTCTGTGACAGTTGCTTGGCAACAGAGCGTACGGATGGAGAAAGCTGCGGAAGGCTGGACCTGTTTGAATCCACAGCCAAAACTCTTCCGTTCTCCTTATCTTCATGGATCTCCAAGGATTCAGTCCAGATAGACTGGATCCCTGGAGGATGCAGTCAGTGCAACCAAACACAACCTTTAATAAAAAATTAATTGGAAGTGACATATGGTAATTAAAACATTAAATTAGGACATCCAACTGCTCCCATCCTCCGGTTTTAGAGGGGAACTGCAGGTTCTGGTTTGGCTTGCAGGAGCAGGCTGGACCTTAGGGTCTCAGAGGGTTCTGCTCCAACCACCATTTACTTCACTCTGTGTTTATTTATACATGCAAGGATAATTTACGATAATCATTTTAAATAGATTGTTATTTCTAAATAAATCAGTATTTAATATTTTTCTGGTTGTATTCCTTTACAGTTTCGAGGGAAACAAGTATTCAACTATTCCCTCCAGTTAATTAAACGGAGATCGATGGATTTCCCTCCGTCAGCATTTTATTGCATCTTTGCAAAGAGAAAACAGGACATCATACATCATACAGCCCTTATTGCATGGTAATCAGCCCTGTTCTGATCTGGCCAGCATTTGTTTTCCTTACTTAAAGTAGTCAGAGTCAAAACAAATTACAGAAACTTTGGTTAAACCGTAAGATGTTATGAATAAACCTTGAGAATTATGGGAATAAGTTTGTATTGTCTAAAAACACCCCTCACTCAGGCATTGTGTAAAATAGCATTTTTGATAAATAGCATAAACTAAATATATAAAATAAAAGAAATCAACATTTTCTGACCACAACTGTTTCTCAGTCTATTTAATGTTTAAATTATTTGTTAAAACAAATATATAAAAATTACATTGATTTATTTTATATATTTAATGATCTTTTCTGTCCCTCTATGGACCTCAGGGCTAACATCACAATGATCTTGTGTCCCTCCTCTTGGTTTCTCGCATCCTCCCAGGGGCCCCTGCCCCCTGCTTTTGGAACCCCCTCTCTAAGGTGTAGATATAACCTTTTACATCAGTTTTATTCTGTTGGATATAAGTGGTGTGGCGGTAACGTGGGGGCACAGAGATCTGCTTCTGAATCTCCCACCCTCTTTGGTGGCCTAAACTGCTCCTCCTCCTCCTCCTGGAGTCCCTCCCCCGTTGCTCCGCTCTGCTCTGCTGAAGGAGCTTTCCAGCCACAGATCAGAGAGCCGCTCCAGCAGGAACTCCAGCGCCACCGGCGATCACTTCTGAAGTAAACGCCTTTCCTCTGCCGCTAGACTTCAAAACAGAGGAACGGATCAGGAAGATCTGAGGAGGGTTGATCCTCAGCAACATGAGTCTGAGGAGGAAGAAGGCTGGGCTCTTCATCAGCTGGCAGAGGTCCTTCTCCTTCTTGGCTCCTTGGAGAAAAGGTAAAAGCAACAGCACCTCCATTAAGGTTTTATTTCAGTTCTTTGGTTCTGGTCAGGTTCTATTCAGACCCTGAACTCCCTACACATGAAGTAAACACAGCGCAGCTCCCGATTCTGGAGGAGATCAACTGTGCTGATCTGAGGGGTTCAGGTGGAGCTTTATGGGCTTCTGTAGAACATCTCATCTGCTGGTTCCACAGACCCTTCTGAACCAAGACTCTATCTGTTTACAGTTGTCATTTAACTCCTGTTTTTATTTGAAGTTTAATGAAAGCTGAGAGCCATAAACAGAGCCAAGGAGGCAGTCATGAGGAAAGCAGAACCAGATGTAGATTCCTTCTCCTCCTCTTCCTTCATCTTAGCCAAACAGGAGCCCAGATGTGTCAGAACCAGAATAACCTGCAGCCAGCAGCTTCCTGAGTTCTAGCTCAAACTGGGCACGGTGGTGGAGGGTTGATGAGCTGGGCTGGTCCAGAGTAGGGTGACCAGATTTGGGTTTCTGAAAAGGAGGACACTTTTTTGCTTTGCGGCTGACTTATCCGGAGCCAGCTGGGCACGGAGCGACCGAACCCTACAGCAGTGTTTTTCAACCCTGGTCCTCAAGGCACCCTGCTCTGCATGTTTTGGATGTTTCTGAGGTTCAGCACACCTGATTCAGATGATTGCAGTTCAGCAAAGCCTGATCATCTGATATCAATTGTGTGAAAGCTGGGAAACATCTAAAACATGCAGGGCAGGGTGCCTTGAGGACCAGGGTTGAAAAACACTGCCCTACAGTATGCTTACAGCTGCACGGTAAGGCAAAAATATACAAAGGCTTGAAATGGAATAAAAATTTGTGTTCCTCATCAGGCTAATGTAGTAGAACAATTTGACATAGATTTGGAGTCAGTGAGTCACATGACCTGGAAGCTATTGAAGAAATATCAATTATTTTTGTAATAAAATTTTTTTTAAATATACAAAAGCCTAAAATGGGATAAAAATGTGTGTGACTCATCAGGCTGTTTTAGTAAAACAATTTCACAAAGAATTTGAGTCAATAGGTCACATGACCTGGAAGCTATTAAAGAAAAGTCCCAGCTTTGTATTAAAAATATCTTAAATATTGAAAATAGCTTAAAATTGCATAAAAGCAAGTGTGCTTTACATATGTTATCTATTGGCAAGACTTTATATTAGTTTCATCTTAGCTGGTCATAAGATAAGGAATCTATTGATTTTTTTTCTCAAGAGTGCTTAGTTCAGAGATTTGTTGACAGTCCCTAAATGCACCACCACGTGTGGGAGGAGGGAGCAGCTGAGAGACGCTGGCCGACATCAGAGTCCCTCAGTCGGATCAACCATTTGCTAGATCCTGCTGACTCAACGGAGCTTGAATATCCAAATCCAACTTCAACCCAACTTCACCGCGGTGCTGACGGGTTGGGTCTGTTGCACTGTAGTCGACCAAAATCCTGGATGATTTTGAAACTCCCCCCTGGACATTTTTTTAGGTATGAAAAGTAGGACAGGAAGAAGAGGACATCAGGTCACCCTAGTACAGAGCATCTGGACTCCTTACAGCCATCGTGGAAACAGCGGAACGATAAATCCAAACCCAGCAGCAGATTAATGTCTGGAGCTGAAGGTTCTGTTCAGGGTCTGGATCTGTGCTGGGACCTCCAGAGCTGAACAGAACCACATGGGCAATAAGTGTGACTGTAGCTGGTCAGGTCACTGATGAAGAACCAGTGGAACCAGCCATGTTCTGAACTACGGGGGGCTCAGAGATCCAAAGAACCAGTGGGACTTAGCAGAGATGACTGTTTGGCTCCAGAATCAGCAACCCACAGCAGCTCTGCATAGACCACACCCTCCCACCACCATGCCTGGACTCCGGTCCGGTTTGGTCCGGCCCGGTGACTGAGCTTTGTTCCCTCCAGTGATTTTGTTGGATCTACTTTAGTCTCTCTAACTTCTCTCAGGTTAATTCTGGTAGTTTGAACTGCTGCCAGTTAGACCCTGCTGATGTGAACGGGTCTCAGAGTTCTGCTCTGGTTCTGCAGCACCAGACTGAGCCTCGCAGCCTCCTCATTCCTGGGCTGAACCCAGGCGGCTTGTTTGCATTTTAATCTTCCACACCTGCTGTGGAGCAAATCCCACAGACGTTTGGAGGGATTGCTCCTGCTGCTGCTGAAGGTGGTCAGGGGGGGGGGCTCCTCCTGACAGCAGACACATTGTTTGCTGTGGCTCGAGGGGCAGAAAGAAAGAGTCATTGTAGGAAGAGAGCAGCTGGAAGGACGAGTCCATCACTGTTTTATCCCTGAACACGTTCGGAGCAGAAAATCATCTAAGGAGCAGCCTGTAACCTGACACCTCTGGCTGGAAGAACAGTTCTGAAAGACGCAGCTCTAGAGGATTCCCACCCCACCCTACACAGATGAGCAGAGATGAGTCACATGGAGATCTTACAGAGCTGCTTGAACTGAAGCTGCAGTGCTTCCAACATTCCTGTCTTATCAGGATGGCTGGAGGGAGGGCTGGCTTTCAGCACACGGAGGGCCATAGCTGTCAGTGTGTGTGTGTGTGTGTAAGGTGTGGCCATGTCTTTAATACCTGGTGGAGACAATTTCCTAGGAATATGCTACATTTTGGGGACTCATAGGTACTTGTGGGGACAAACAACTGGTCCCCATAAGGAAAGTTTCTCTTCTTGGGGTGGGGGTTAGGTTTAGGACTAAGGTGTGAATTGAGTTTAGGTTAGGTTTAGGGATAGGTATGTGTCGGTAATGGTTAGGGTTAGGGCAAGGGTCATGGTTAGGCCATATAAATTAGTGGGAAATGAATGGAAGTCAATGGAAGGTCCTCACAAGGATATTGTGACACAACATGTGTGTGTGTGTTGGGTACCGTTCTAGCCCACAGAGTGAGGACCACTTTTCCAATTACACCATCACATTGAGGACCCGTTGTTGTAAAGAGGACATTTTGCTTCTGTCCCTCAAGCTATTTTTCTAACGGTTAGGTTTAGGGCTAAAGGCCTGGTTACCCTCCTGCAGCAGTGTGTCGCAGTGAGCTTGTCGGAAGATATTTTTGTTTTATGCCCAATATTGAAGCGTGGTCTGCGCTATGTTATTCCACGCCACAACGCCAGAGGGCCAATCAGAAACTAGCTGTGGGTCTAGATACGGCCGAGGCGGTGAGGAAGTGGGGGCAAGTTTGTGCGACAATGGAGGGACATGAGGGTGAAAAAGAGCGGGGATCCAGGTGGAAAAAGGGTCCCAGCGTTCTCACGCACCTCGCTCTTCTAGCTGCTCCATCTTCACGAATCGTTTTCCATAATGGTGGTCATACAAACAAAACAAGCCGGTAAGGTACCAAACAGGAAATTCGCATAGCGTAGAGTGGATCTAGATTTGACCAATCAAAGGTCTGATAATGAGACACTTACCCCTCCTTCACCACTGCTGGTTTTCTGAGCTCAGGTTGTCCCAATGGGGCGAGGTCACCCCCCAGGGGCTCATGAATAGCCAATGGATCTTCTCCATGTCAGACTGATGCTCCATGAGATCCAGACCGAGAAGATGTTTCCAGACTCTCAGTGTTTCTCCATGCAGCTGAGACCAAAGGCATCAGAAGAAGACAGCAAGTCTGGAAGGTTGAGCGACTCTGATAGAAGGTGGCAGATGGACGTTCTCAGTCTGGATCCAGGCCTCAGGACGGGCATCTCTAATCACACGTTGCTGACTTCAGAACAAGAATACAGACTGGAAACAGGCTGAGTCAGCGGGCTGACAATTACAGGACAGAAGATCTGTTTGTGATGTTAGTAAAGGATGAGCAGATCAGGGGAACACCTGCACAGCAGGAGCAGGTAGCATGAACAGAACGTAGGGAGGACACGTCAGGATTGTGTCACAACAGACTGATTACACACAGGCTGACTTCAGCGTGTAATTAAATGCAACCTGCTCTCCTCCCAGCAGCTCTGCAGGAACAGACTCATCCTGAAACGTCGTGCGAGTGGATCTCAGCACCAACTGCATCTTGGTTTGGTTTTAAGTGCGGTACATGTATTTGACCTGCTCACCAGAGAACTCCGACTTTAGCTTTAAATATACCAAGTTTCTTCACCAGCCTGAGAAAGAGTCAGAATCTTCCTTCAAAGAACTGTACCAGAAACGGGTTGAGGAGGTCGGTAAATTGACAATTTGCAGACTCCTAAAGGCTTTTTAAATCAACCCCAGGAAAGAAAAATTTCAAGATAAATAACACGTTCTGGCCAAACAAACCTTTAACCTGATTGAAGGACAACTTGTATTTTAGGTCCGGGTCTGCTAGAACCGTCTTCAACAATACACTGTACAATTTTTTACCCTTTTAGCCTGATGTTTCGTCGTGTGATGTACAAGGGGGAACAGCCTCTCACGACCTCCTCCCCATCAGGAATCGTAAGGTTGGGAGAAAATCCAACATGTATAAAAATTCAGTCATCCATCCTAAGGTGATTGTGGGCAAATCTCTCAGTGATGCACTGCAAAAATGATCTAGAAATAAGTAAGAAATGACAAAGTGTCTGTTTCAATTTGCACATTTTCTATACAAAAACAAGGCCTTTTTGAGCCACAGTATATAGCCTCGAACTAAACACATTTCCTGACATTTTGAAAGGAAAAAGTCCCCTGGATGGGAAGCGAAACGTCTTTAAACTTGGAAATAAAGTCCAGTGGATTGTTTTTAAACTTTTTTGGAATGACTATGACCTGGATGACTGAGAATCTTCACCAGCATTGAGCTGGAACATTTTTGGTCCAGGATGGAGAAGTGTGGAGGGAAAAAACTCCTGAGGCATGATCAGGGTAACAGCTCAGGATGCTAATAGGGGTTCCAGATCTTTAGGGTGTGGCAGTAAGTAGTTGACCGGGTAAACCTCACGTTGAGAGATGGGAATGGTGTAAAAGGTGCTAGTCAAAACCTAGCAAGTCGTCCCTGATTAGATGGTGTGAAACAATTTCATCACAGATTTTCTGATGTTCAGTTTCTTTTGTTGGTTGCAAACAATAAAGTTAAAATGTTCTGTAATTGCTCTTTGAAGAAAAACGATATTGGTATTTGATTATTTCCATTCAGTGTTTAGTCAAAGGCTTTGTAATGACTAATTAAAGATTTGGGACTTACCTTGGGTCTTCCAGAAAATCCCTTTAGTGGGGACCTTAGGCCTTGCCTCTTCTGTTCAAGATACATTTCCCTGGTGTTGAGGCCATACCAGACATCCCAAGTCTCCCGGAAGTTCTGGTAGTCTCCATGATATAGATAGTCTTTCACGGATGCCCGCGAGTTGGATAAATTATCCCGGATTTTAGACTATTGGTGGTGGTGTTTTTTAATGCAAGTGAGAGCGAAAAGGCAGTACAATAATTTGTGCACCATGTGCGGATTAGAACTACTTTGATTGCGCAGACAACAAGCGAGAGGGGGCTGTGGTGAGCATGTTGCTTGTGAAACCTGTGCAGCGTATCTGTCCAAAGTGATGCTCCGTTCAACCAGCGTTCCAGGAGACTGGTTGTCAGAGAGCTGATTGGATCAGTCCGATAATTTCTGGGTTACTCTCTGACAGTCACCTAGTTACCACTCAAAGCTGTGCATCCTGTGAAACGGCAGAGGTTGAATCCTCGAGTAAAAAAACGAAAATATAGGACTAATTTTACTGCAGAATAAAGTATATCCACGTCTAGTGAAGGTGAGGAACAGTGGGGAATCTTGACCAAATATACCAGGGGGCCAGGAGGCAGCATGTTTTCATGGGGGCCCAGAAAAGCATGAAATGAAAAACATGGCAAGAGATTCAAATATATTAAGAGAGCTGCATGAAGTGATATTTCTTTTCAATTAGGTTAAATAAAAATTCTATTTTTTATTAGGTCAATATACAATTATAATTTATTAATTTTACATTTTTTTTTACTTAATTTAAGTTAAAATTATTGTTTTCTATAAAATTTGAATTAGAATCCAAGATAAACTGTTAAATTCATCTGTAAAAATTAGAGCATGAAAACTGGGATCCTATCCTAAAGGAGAACACCGTTTTTTTTTTTTTTACATTGGGCCCTTGAATTTACGTTATTATATCATGTTCTGACTTTGACTTTTACTAATGACTTTTAGTTAATAAACTGTTGTTGTTGAAAGGTTGCTGGCCTTAATTGTGTATGTATGGGGCACGGTGCTAGGGGGGGATTAAGCATCTCCCTGAAATAAGTTTTTGGAACTTGGGATGACTGCCATACAGTGTTGTCATTTTGTACCAGGAGTACGAGATGCAAAATTAATCAAACTGATGTGTTTTGTTGTTGCAAGTTTTGGATGTTTTTGGTCGCTTTAAATAACTAATTGGACAATCTGTTAAACTGGACCAAGTTAGAGCACTGTTCTCTTCTCCTTAACAGGTAAAGAAGGCAGGAATGCAGTCCTGGACAGTGATGTTGTTCTGACGAAACTGAAACTCATCAGCAACTTCAATGAAAAGCCACTGATAGCAGAAGACCCTGGGTCCAGCGTCTCCACAGCAGTAGCTTCTGAGCAGGACACTCTTGACCTGATCAAGAACTCAGAGGTAAACTCCCCGCTCCAAGACAAGCCCGCCTCTAAATCCCTATCTGCCATTTTCTCAGACTCTCGTCTCTCCCGGTCGTACAAGTTTGAATCGGAGGACTCTGGAGTGGAACTGCCCAGTGGAGCTAACTCTCTGTCCACCCCAACAGGCTCAGAAAAGAGCTTTGAGATCCACAGTCGAGAGTCCTCCTGTGATTCCTGTAACTTGGACTCTTCCTCTAATGAATTAGTTATCAGTAACCAGAACTCTGACAATAAGCAGGCAAAACACTTAGATACAACATTAAATACAGCAGTTGGGCCCCGAGACAATGTGTTCGATGGCAGAGACAGATTTGAACCATCAGCTCCAACGGTAAAACTGTACATAGGAGAAGAAACAGGCCAGGGTGAGGCTTCAGGATTCCACTCTGAGGATTCTAGGGACCAACTAGAACAATGTGAGGAGATGAGCTCATCACATGATGAAGAGAAACCATTAATGACCAAATATGAGGACAGACCAGCACAGGAGCAAGAGACTGAGACCATGAGGAGGACGGACACCAGGGACAGCCTGGACGACTACATGGACACCTGCTGCAGACTCACTGAGGTAAGACATCCATCTATATTCAATAATCCATCCATCCATCCATCCATCCATCCATCCATCCATCTCCTCTTTTGTTTTTGGTTGAGGACAGTTTACTGAAGGAATCCTAACAGGAGACGAACATCTAATGACAAGGGCTGGTTGATGATCTTTGGGTCTGTATTACATTCCAGTGAACTAAATGTGAGAGACCAACACAGCTGTGTTCTTTTTGTTTGTGCTGTCAGAGCTTTATCCATTCTGTCCAGCGTCAGACATGTTGAAGACAAAATCAAACAGGCAAAAGAGGCTTCACCTTCAGCCACAGTAAAACATAAGACCCACTCTGGCCCCTTAACCAGAGTCAATAACCTGAGCATGATGCAGCACTTTCATCAGCCTGCTGAGCGAATGGAGATCTGAAGAAGTGATATTGTTGATAAGCAGGCTGTTCCCCAGCTGCGCCCTTCTTCTTCTCCAAGCCCAGAGCTTGGCAGCTTCTGCTGGTGTATCCAGTAGGTGTGGAATATCTCAAATTACTCAAATATTTACAGAGATGAAGCTTCTTTGACGGTTCCCAGGGGCCCTGGCAAGGCAGTGGCCTGTGGAGGAGAGTGCCTCCCACCACCACCACTTGTTAATAACAGAAACACGTTCTATCTATGTTTCATATTCTATGTTTCCTTCTCTAGATTTTTTTCTTCCACCCATTTAGTGAACAGAGATAAAAAAAAAACTGCTGTAAACTTCATGATTCAGGCACTAGAAGCATTTCTGAGGGCAGAGTTTTCATATTTTTCCTGCCAGGCAGCAGCAGGGATCATATGGACCTGTTTATCTCCCTCTGGGCGTTGCTCCTCGTCAAGTAAAAAAAAAAAACACATATGGGTCGCTCTGATATTTAATTTCCCTTTGATAAAGTTTATTTTTATTTGAATCAGGGCAGAGCAAGTGTTGCACCGTGAGTTCCAGTGACAATTTGTTAAAAATGTAACTTTATCCTGTAGTTTTTCTCTTCTAAGTCCCATTTTCTCTGCCCACATCAGCCCTCCTGTATCTGCTATGTGGTGTGAGAAAGCCATTTTCCTAATATTTCTCTCCAAACAACCCCTCAGCCAAAACCCGATGGAGACTCCCTATGGGATCTAATTCAGATAAGATGGAAATCAGGAGTAAGTATGACCACAGCTGTCCAGGGAGGGGCAATAAACAACAAACCTTTCCTGTCTCACTGTCCTTCTTCCTCCAAAGCTTACTTGCTTTTCAGTTCTTTGTCAGCCTTGGACCCCGCAGACCTGGAGGTCCTGACTCATACAATGAACGGGAAGCTTTGCGGCATCAGAGCAGGGCGTGTGTTTGTTTACGAGGAGTTGGGCCTCCTTCTTACCCACATGTCTGGCTGGGATCAGTGGATCACTTAATGGTCTCTGTGGCATTATGTGTCACAGCAGTGGGAGCCCCAGCAGACCACACCCACTTCCCTTCATCTCTGACACACAGCTTGGCATATCTGCTTGCAGGAGAGCTGTGCTGCTCAGTTACATTCATCACAAGCATTTGCTCATGGTGGAACGATGAAATATAAGATGCTTTAACAAACTTGGGGTCAGACAATCACAAACTGGCTCCAACATTTTGCCCCATATTACATCCAGGGAAACATCTCTCTGGGGTTCGTGGAAAGCTGCTTTTTTTCTTGGTTTCATTCTAGCCCTGACCCACACCTGATCAGAAACCTTTTAAATGAAGCCTCAAACATAGCCGGTGTAGGTACCAGATCTGCTCGGGACCCTGCCTCTTCTTATGACGTCATCATATGGCAATAACACTCAAACAAACTGTATTGCAACAATTTCTGAAGGATCACATCTCTTCTGGAGTCGCAACATATTATTACCCATATTTGCTATTATTTTACGTTTCATCTGCGATCTAAAGAAGTCTAAAGTAGAAAACAATCATTTTCAGTCTTGAAGGAAAGTACTGCCTTCTAAGATTGAGTGAGCTCTGCCATTTAACAAGATGACAAAAAAAGTCTCAGCTTATTTTATTCTTTTTATTTAAAGTCGTAGGGAAATCATATTTAAATGTCAAATCATTCTGGCTTAAACATGCATATAAATTTACTCTTTATCAGACATGCAGGAGACTCATCCACGACATCAGATGCAAAACTCTCCTCCTCTTGCATGTTTCCGTTGTCCATAGCGTTCCTTGACACTTTCTAAGTCACAATTTAGTGCTACTTGGTCCTCACACATACTAGGTCTAACAACATAAACAATACAATATAGAGGCAGAAAGGCACCTCTTCAAGTATGAATCCATGAAAGCTCAGCGGTGTGTGAGCATTCACTGCCAGTCTAGCTGGCATGTGGGCAATGAAATGGAATAATGTAATAGATTAAATACCCCATCATGCACCGCAACATATTTTTGCAAAATATTTGAACATAAATTTTTAGCAGGAACATCTTAGTTTAGTTTAAAGAAAATATTTTAGTTTTATTATAATTTAGTTTGTTGCAAGGATTTTACAGTTTGAAGAAACAGAAAATGACACCATATGCCAACGTTCACAAGGATGTACATGACAAGGAAGGGCTATATATACTGCATGCATCATTTAGGTAGTTAACATTGGATTACTTCTTAAGCTCCTTGAGTTATTTACCGTCACAGGTAGGTGCTTCAGCCAAAGAGTAAGTGTTGGGGACGGTATGATTTAAGGAGGGTCGGCCCTCACATGCTGAATTAGGACCGGCCCACCTGGCAAATGCCCGGTATCACAGATTACCAGTCCGAGCGTGGCCATAACCAAATTTGCTTGCGAACCTTCCGCCAAAACAATCCTGCCCTTCTGATAAACGACCTATCGCATTCACTCTATTCACTCGTGTAAAGTCATGCACCACTCGGGAGAATTCGGGAGAAATGGTTGGAACAGCCATTATTGAAATAAATAACATTTTGCATTTAAGATAAAAAATCTTTTTTAATCTGTCAATCTGCTCTATCCAGAATTCCTCAAGTGGAAAAGTTTTAGCTTCACCTGGTTTAATTTCATAAAAAATTTTGAAGGAACCTTTTCCTATCTAATCATTAATCGAAAAAATGATTGACAGATTAATCAATTTGCAAAAATAATTAGAGTTGCAGCCCTAGTCCAAACAAGACAAGATGAACATCAGCTTCCTTCATCCATTTAGTTCTGACGTCTGTTTGGTTCCTTTTCCTCAGAGGAAATTGTTTAGGATGTTTGGGAACAATCCAGGAAGTGGCCCATTGAAAACGTTTGACGTCGGTAGAAACAGACCCCTTCCAGCGGGACGGCGGTCTGAGGCAGCCTTCCATGACAAAAACAACTACTTACTTTACTCAGTTATTTGCTGGGGAAACCTTTGAACAGAAAGTATCTTTGGTAGTACCCATATTCTGTCCTTTCTTCTTTTACTTGAATATTGCTATAAAGTACAAACTTCAGTCGGGGTTTGTTTTTCAAACTGACATCTGATGTTTTCAGATCATTTGAACAGAATGCTCTTCATTACGTCCACATGTATTTCAGTCTTCTTTAGTTGTTGGCCTCTAAAAGAGATCGCAGGACCAGGGGCGGATTTAGGAAGGGGGCCTTCGGAATTGAGAGACAACACATAAAACAGATCCATTATCCAGATAGAGAAACGTTAATAGAATAGACATCCATTATTTGTTCTAGGTTTTGTCCCTCTCTTCTTGTCCCTTTTCTTCTTGTTTTCCTCTCTATGTTTTGTACTCAGCTGACTTTTCATGCCGTCTCAAAAGGAATGAAAGATTTTTTCCAAGCACTAAGCTCACTTAGCTGATTGCTCCTTCCTGTGTTTCCAAAAAGGCCAAAGTAAATAACCCAGTCCTTCTTTTCACTGTAGACAAGCCATGATCTGCTTCTCTGTTCTCCATTTTTCATTTGGATGAAATAATAGCTGCATGAATCATGACAGCAGACAAGATAGAGGAGAGCAGGAGGCGGGGTTACCAATCTACTTGCTCTGGAGAGCAGAGTTCGCTGCTTTTATATGTTGACGCCAAAGTCTTCAGTAGCAGAAAAAAGTCAATTGATTTGGCGCTAGGCGCTTTTTTGAAATAGTGTTAAAGGGGTCTGAAAAGTCGGTAAATATAGCGACAAAAGCGCTAAGTTGGCAACACTGCTCTTCGCACTGTTTGGTTTCAAATGGGTTGCTGCTGTCTGTTTGGATCTTTTTGAACATGAGCAGCAAATGGAATGATCCAATATGGTGGACACTGAAGGGGGGGCTGAGACACACTGAATATTATAAGCATTCTCCCAGGAGCTTAGGCCCTTGGGCAACTGCCTAGTATTGCCTCATGGTAAATACCCCTCTGCCTTTGAGTTCTCTCCTGTCCCCTAAAGATCAGCTATTATGACACACACGTCAGGTAAAACCTAATAGTATTGTATGTTCTCCAACCATTAAGCACGATGGCTGTAGTATCCTGCTCAGGGTCTAGATTGGTTAAACATGCACAGAGTTGGGGCCACGGGTAGAGCCAGACTGGTTCAAGCAGGCGGACACCGAGCATCTGGACAGGTCCTTCTGAGCCTTCTAGATCTTTGTTGATCCTTGTTGAAGTCTGGTCCATGGCAGGATCCCTGAGAAGTGATTAATTCTGGAGAAAGATCGGTCAAACATCCACCGACAACTTAGCCTAAAGCTGCTGGTTAGGAAGCTAAACTGGAACCACAATTAATAATAATTAAACCATTTTAAGATTTGTCGGTTTCATACTGCTGGCCTGTCACCATGGAGGCAGGGCTTATAGGATATGGGGCGTGGAAACAGAAAAAAAATCTGATTTTGAAATGTAGTTTAAAATATTAAAAATTTCAAATCTTTTCTCATAGTTTCTTCAGGAATCTGTAGCCAGATACCAGCAGAGTGTAGTTAGGTATCCCAGCCTGTGCAGATTAGAGTTCCATCATCTGCCACCCAACAATAAGAGCTAACGGTGTCAAGTGTCACCGTGACACATGTCAGATCCTGGAGAGTCAGAGGATCCCAGCTGCCATTCCAGAACCATTAGCATAGGAAGCCTGATCTCATGTCCTGCTTTTGTTGGGTCACTTCAGGAATGCTGATAATTGGATAAATATTTGCTCATAATTTCCTCTTTACTGCACCAACCAGCACAAAGAGAGGATTTGTAAACCTACCAAACACTCGGGTCCCACAGTCCTTTGCTACGAATCTAAGTTTCTATCACCGGAACATTATTAGACCAGGAAATGGAAATCAGAGTGGGTGTCGTGCAGAGAACTGCCTTCCTGTGAGGATTAATGTTTTCCACAGATAAATAAAACAAGCAGAACAGAAAATTGTCTAGTTTAAAGGAAAAGTCTGATCAGCAAGGAATAATTAATGGATCATTCTCTATACCTAAAACTAATACGTTCGCAGTGATTTAATGAATTCAGTGTTAATTAGTAAAGAAAAAAACAAAGCAATACTGATCACTGAGTCCGGAACCAGCCATTTTTGCCCAACTATAGTAAGACCTGCCATCTTCCAGCAGTGACGTCACGGTGCGGTAAGCCTAGCGCCATTCTCCCCGCTTTACAAGCAAAATCAATGGGAACTACTAGACACATCTGCAATCAACAACAATTATTGAAGATTTCCAGAGGACTTCACCATTGAAATTCACCAGAGCTATAGTGAAACTGACAATGCCCACGTGCATGGCAGCTAGATGTTGGAATACATGGGGTAAAAGTGAAAAAAAAAATTATTTTACCTTTCTTATTTCTTATCCTCCACGGACAGGTTCGTCGTTGCATTGCAAACTTGATAGAGGAGGATTTGGGAAGAGGGAGGATTTGCCATTGAACTTCTGGCCAGAAAAAAAACACGTAATAGCCAACGTTTGGAAGAAGAATGTTTTCAAGATGACTTGGATAATAGCGTGTTGTGACAAACACCAGATACAGCACTGGGACTTGATCAACAGCCGATACCGCACCATGACATCACAGACCAGTAGGTGGCAGTAGTGTTCTTTGACAAACATGGATGCCTCCAGTAAAGCACATTCAAATGAGCATTACTCTTAATTAAAAACACGTATCAGTATGTAATGATTTCATATTTAAAAGTTTGAATTCTGATTATATGACCGGACTTTTCCTTTAAAGCTCCACAGTCTAAAAAACAAAGAGAAGAGACCCAAATGCAGGGAAACGAGCAAGGTTGAGCTGAACAAAGCAGCGTTTAGTGATAAAAAAGAAGCAGGACGGACTCAGAAGGCAGCACGACCCATGATGGAAGGAAAGGATGATACCATAGGACCTGTACCTCCTCCTGCTCCAGACGTTCCAGGACCAGCAGGCAGACATTCTCCCTCCAGAGTGTCCTAGGTTGTCCTCTGGTTCGTCACCTGTGCCAAGTGGGATGTGCCTGGAACTCTTCCCAGGCAGGGTGGACTCCTCTGAATGTGGTGGAGATGCAGCTCTACTCTGAACCAGATTCTAGAAATCCTGTCCATAAAGGTTCTAAATAGAACCGGTGACCGGTTACGTGATGGACCATCATGAAAAGGTTTATGACTATAAATTGCAGCAAACCACCAAGCAAAAACTGGTCTAAAAGACACTGATCAGACATGATTTATGTCCATAAGATGTCTGCATTTGGTCGAAAACTGAAAGGTGAAAACCCGTAATTTTCAGATCGTTGAAAAGACGTTGAAAACTGGGTTTGTAACGTCTTTTCAGTGTCTATTATTGGACTAAAGTAGAACAAAATCAGACTGACCAAACAGCCCAATGTTCAACAACTATTTCTGGACTTAATCCAGACTGTGACGGACTGACCAGATTTAGCCTAAAAAACAACTTCTAAATGACATCTGGAGTTTGAGGGGGAAGAGCAGAACGGTTCTCAACTACCATGAAAAGTTTTGCTTTTCATGCAGAACTTTGTGAAAGTTAGGTGTGCCCATCCCTCAGAACAGATCTAAGCTTTAAATACGGTGGTGGCAACATCCAGAGGTGGGCTGGCAAGGATCTGGTCAAATCTTTGTTCCTGCAGACCCAGCAGCAGATCTCCAGACCTCTGGGCCCAGGGCTGGGTTACCTGCACCTCATCTGCCAGCTGCTGGAAAAAATCTGTCATCAGCAGGAGATCAACATCCAGCTGCAAAGGCAGGTGTGTGTCCTGCAGAAGGACAGCAGGATGACAACGACTAAGGAGGTATGTGAACGTTGTTTGGTTCTGTAAATGCTTTACAGATGATTTAAAATGTAGAGTTTGACCTTCATTAACTCAGATATGAACCTGTCTGTATCATGTCTGCAGCAGTTCTTCCAGCAGTACTGCAGCTGTGGCGCTGCTATCCTGGCCTTCCAGAATTACCCGCCGAAAAGTGACTCCCTGTCTCCAAGTGGTACTTTCTCTAATCTATCCACCATCCCAGAAGTCAGCTGGTCAACAGGTAACCATTGATCACATGCTGCTAATAAACACTGTGACGTTAGCTTTAAATACCTGCATGCCATGAGCAGCTTAATGTGAATAACAGAAAGAAAGAAAAGTCTGGTCAACAAGGAATAATGAACAATGAATCGTTATCTATACCTAAAACCAGTGTTGCGCCAATGCCATTTTTTGGCCCGGATACCGAAACCCGATACCTGGCTGTGCAGCATTGGCCGATGTGTGTGTGTATTTATGAAGAACTGCTTACTGCTTTGATGTAAAATAATTGCCATCATGGCTTTGTCAAGCTGCTGCCTACCTTTGTGAAGCAGATAAAAGACTAAAGCAAAGTGAATACAGTAGAACTTTTTATTGCCTACCTGGAATGGGTGATAATAGTTGAATAAACTTTTGGCTCTCAAAATGGTATTGGTTTCCTATTTGTTGTTACTCACCGATACCGATACCACCATTTTAGTGCTGGATCGGGGCCCTGTCCAATATTGGTATCGGTCGACATTACCAAAAAGTAATACATTTGCGTTGTTTTAATGAATTTAGTAAAAAAATAAAAATAATAATTTTCGTCTGAGGTGCCTGCTGATCACGAGACACCGACCACAACCAAACTCGCTTGCAAACCTTCCGCCACAACAGTCCCGCCCTCTTGAAAATCAACCAATCACATTCACTTTATTCACTTTGTTAAGTCGGAAAGTCGAGCACCACTCCGGAGAATTCGAAACTGCAATGGTTGGAACAGCCGCTTCCCTACGACTTTAAGCAGTTAAATCATGGAGCAAATTTTCTTCTTTGATGTTTGTGATTTTAAAACATCTAAAAACATAGTTTCTAGAACCTTCTAGAACCAAACAATAAGAAAAAAATATTTCCCTCATGAATCATGAAGAAAAAGAGCATCATCCCTCTGCTTGCTGATTGGCTGGACAGGAGCCTAACGCCACCCCCCAACCTGACTGTAACCGACCCAAATTAACTTTGGGTTTCCTCCTGAAGTCATAATTGTTCTGGTTCTGTTAGATGCTAGCAGTGACTGTCCAGAAGCATCTAATCTTTGCTTCCTGTTCCAGCCAGGAGAAGAGAGGACCAGTCCGCATGGAGAAGGACCTTCATGGAGGAGCAGCTCCGTCTCCATGGCGATGACGCAGAGGACAGGAGTCCTGGACTGGGCAGGGTGAGTATACACGTAACTCTGCTACAGCTGCAGCACTTCATGCCAGCTTCTTCACAGAACGGAGAGGTTCTAGTTCAGTCGTCATGGTAACGAGCAACATAAACTGTGATTAGAGAAAGAAAGTATTGATTCTGTCCCAGAGACGTTCCATACTTCTCTGACCTCTAGTCTCGAGGTCAGATCCTTTTTTGCTGCATCATGGGACATCTGAGTGACGGTGGAGCTACGGCTGAAGTGGAAGGAATAGAAGCTCTCAACCTAGAGAGGATGTACACCATGCGGACCTACCGGGACATGGAGGACCGCAGGGGGTTCATCTGCTGAGAATGGAAAGAAGAAAGGCTCTCATTGAAAGGAAGTCAGAACAAGTCCAGTTAACCATCTCAGAGGAAACATCTGGAAGAATAGGCTCTGATCAGAGCAAACGGAACCTTCAGAGAAAGCTCTCACTGAGACTTACAATAAACACTGCTTGGAACCCAACACCCCACACTGTAAAGTATTGTGGTGGCAGTGTTATGGTGTGGGACAGGGAAGCTGGTGAGAGTTCATAGTGGGATGGATGGAGCTAAAACAGGACAATCCTGGAAGAAAAGCAGCAGAAATCCGGAGACTAGGGAGAATCCACCTTCCAGCAACAGAAGCACCCTGAGTATCAACGGACTACCATGGATGGTTGGATCACAGCTGCCTGAGGATGGTCGTCTGCTACTGCATGAAGGTCATCACAGTGAAACAAATAAAAGCTTCTAGATCACTGACTGGTTCTACAAAAGCATCCAACATTCTGCTGTTTGTTTCATGACCTTAAAGGCAGTTCCCCCGTCCCTCAAAGATCCGACCAACAACTAGAAGAACAACACTTTTTAATAGACTTTACACAACTCGCTCGACATCTGCGCGTATCGTGGAGCAACAGTGGAGAGGAGAAACTCCTGGTAATGGGAAGAAACCTCCAGCAGACCCAGAACCAGGCTCAGTGACAGAGTAGCACTGCTGATCCAGGAGCAGTTCCACATCGAATTTTACAGGACGACCTTCTGCTGATTCATAAACATTCAAAAACACAACTTACCCAACAAGTTTATCGTAAACTCCCAAATCAGATAACCCCAGAGATTAGAAAGCTTCAGTTGTCGTATCAGTTTGAAGAACTAGGAAGTTTGTCTCATGACACATGACTTATCCCGGGCTTATCTTCATTTAAGCTCGGTGAAATCTACACGTGGGGCCGAGACCTGGTGAGGAAAACCAAAGAGAGGAACCAGAGCAGACTGGGATTAACTCCCGCTTCACTGAAGCTATCCTGTCCTCAGCTCTACAGGTAGGAAATGGTTACTGTGCTGCTCTATAAAGGGTCTGTCTCTACTGCTTTTAATAGGGGGTTTTCAGTGACGTCACTGGCCAGCTTCCGGTCCGCCATCTTGGGTGGCATATTATCGTATATCATATATATCATGTCGCGAATGGATAAGTACGCCAGCACGCTAGAGCCACCAGATCATGGAACATATCTGAGGAAATGTTCCTTGATTGACCATATGGACTGTAGGCTGCAGCCAGGCTTAACTAAACCCCAAATAGATATACAGTATTGTTTAAATATAGGGCTTGGGATCCACGTTGCATTGTAGGACGTGGCTGCCATGTAGATGGCAACGCAACATTAAAATACCTCTGACTTAACGTTGTTGAACGAAGAGACGTAGAAGTAGAGTTGAGAAAGAATAGATAGAAAAAAGATGTTAAAATCCCGAAAAGGATCTGAAATTTACCGGGACACATTAAATAGAGAAGCCAGGGACCGGTATGTTGACAAAATCAGCATTATTAATAATTTGGATCCATATGAAGTTCCAAACAATGACTTGTTGCCACTGTTTTGCATATCAGACGTCTTCGGCTACCTTGTTTGTGGTGTGAGCGCCTATACTTCAGAACAGTTCCAAAGCTACAAGTCCTTGGAGTCTCATGTGCAGTTTACGAATGGATGGGTTCAGGAGCTGCAGCTCATAAAGCCAGCAAACAGTGATAACCGTTAGTGCTAACAACCACTCAGGCATGTAATGTACTTTTAACTAGCTGCTATGTGTTTCAAAGGTTTGGTTAGTAACGTTAACTGCCAAACCTCCCTAAACCCTCCGGGTTTCTCACATATTTGAGCCTTTTCCCGCTGGTTGAAATCAAGTTAAGGTGAAATTAATCAAATTAAAACATAGCTGAGAGAGGGAGTCCAGTACGCGGTAGTCATAGGCAGTAGTCTGAGTAGCGGCGGCAGAGGCAGTCAACATTGCGGCCACGGAAAGTAATACGTCATGACGCCCAAGCCCTATTATTAATATATTCTTACATGTTTTAAATGCTTGACAGTTAATTACCTGTGACAAAGTGAGCACTGCAGACTCTGGCGTATTCCAGCTTAACACCGTCCAAATCGGACCTGGATATCCGTATCAGCCATATGTGACGGCGTTGTTCAGATAGCTGTTTTGTTTTTTCACATTGATTCACGATTACGGCTGGTATGCGATAGAAAGAGCGTTGATCTCCACCTCCACGGGCTGTGCAACCAACAATTACACACGTTTTCACCATTTTTCACTGTCAATACTGCCTAAGGCGTCATACAATGCAGGGTCAACGGTGCGAAACGACTGCCACCCAATATGGCGGACGCGCTGAGTAGTCACGTGAGCGTGACGTCACCTGAAAACCCCCTATTCAGAGGAAATCTGGAATCTGTTCTCATGTTATGCAGATGTCTGTCACATCTACATTCCTTTAAATAAATCAGAATACCTTTCCTCTTCATGTTTTGCTGAAATTGAGGTCATATTATTATGTCCAAAGGTCCCTTTTCACATTCACCATAGCAAACTTGGCTATGCCACTCCATACAAATATTTTCTGTTAAACTAAACTTTATTTATATAGCACTTTAAAACAGCAAGGGTTCCACTACAGGACGACCAAACTGAGACGACATGATTGAAAAAGTCCATATTTAATCACAAATCACAATAGTCTACAAAAATATATTTAACTGATATCCAATAATCAGGCTCTACTGACTAGAACAGCCAAAGAGAAGAAGTCTGCAAACCAAACAGGCATGAAAATTGTGTTTTCATGCTTAGACACTTGAGGATTATTTATGCCTTTATTGTTGATTCCATTTTTGTCTTTTATAGATAGTCAGGTGTCTCTCACCTTTAGCTTGTCCAGAACACAGCGGCTCCTTCTTTACCTCATTCACATATGATGATCCTTCCTGGGTGGGCCTCTCCCCACTGGCTCCCTCCGCAGGGAATGACTTTTCAGTTAGGCCACGTTTACTTTCAGGGTGCGCGGCACTTAAAGCGGGGAAGTTTTTTTCCTTTTCCGGCCCGATTTTCCAGTCCTGTGAGGATTTTTCGATTGGGCCGTCTTTCAGCCTGAACATGCATCGTGTAGTGTACAGGGGGTAACAAGGGGCGATCCGCCTCTCACAACTACCTCCCAATGAGGAACCATAAGGTCGGGAGAAAATCAGACATGTTTGAAATGAAGTATTCTTCTTCTTCTTCCCCTCAGAAGAAAACACAGAAGCATGGCGGGGGTGTGAGTGAATGGAATTCTTTCAGTCAAACTGACAGACCGTAGGAGCCACGTTTGCTCAGCCATGTCTTTGTCCAAATACGTCAACGCCTTTTCTATTTAGGGCTTTTAGCACAAAATTGCACAAATTGCAAATTCAGCGAGTTTCACTCTAGTGAGCTTCATATTCCTCTTCTACTGGTTTGGCTTTTGGATAGACGAGTCCGAGTGGAGCTGAGACATTCATGGTTTTTAGACGTACAGTGTGAGCAGGTAGATCGCATCAGAGCGTCGGGTCGGACAGTGTGAGAACAAACATTGGGAGCTGTGAACTTTTAAACCCTGAGGTTTCGTCGTACAGTGTGAGCTGTAGCTGCGTGCAACGATTGAAAATATCGTACAGGGGGAAACAAAGAATCCCAATTAGAAAACATGGAGGCTTGGGTCTACCAAGAAGACCGATCATCAGGTGAACACTGGCAGTCCAACATCTCCAGCAGTCTGATCAGACCAGGAGGAAGCAGACAGTGGTTAGGCCGACCACTAGCAAAGATCCTCTGTTCTGAGAAAGGTCAAACACACCGATAAACCCAAGGACCATGATAAGAAACCTATTTCTCTTTATTCGTTTCATTTTTAGGGAGATTCCAGTCCTCCTCCCAGGTGACCCACAGCTGCTAAAATCCCCTTAAAAAGGAGCTGGTTCCCTTTGTTCTCTAAAAAAAGAGCTTAAGGAAAGGAGAAGGAATGCATGTCAGTTCATCACAGTTAATAGAAGGCATTCAGCAAGTCAAGGGCTCAGAGCAGAGACAGGTTCTGGCAGATGGAGATAACGAAAGCTATTAGCTTCACTGTCTCCAGGAGGTCAGGGACCTCAGCGAGGCCGACCAATGGGCTTCCTTCACTTTAAAACTGGTACAGTGGTGGGATCTGATGAAGGGCTGCTATAGCCCCCCTCCTGCCTGAACCAGAGGACGGTTAGAGTCAGACCTTTGGTATGCTGGGAGGAGTGTTCAGACATGGCTGCGCTGCAGGATTCATTAGAAAATGCAGAGCAGCAGAGCTGAGCCCAAATCAAAGAGTTCAGCAGAAACCAGATGTTATATCGTTCAAACATTGACTTGTTAATAGACTGCTGAATGTTTGGATACCTTCATTTTCTCTCTGAACATCACCATCAATGTTTCAACTAAGTCAAATCATTATGATCCACTGCTTCTTAAAATGATTTAAATGTTGAATTCAATTCAGTTTATTTCTATAGCACCAATTCACAAAACCTCATCTCAAGGCACTTTACAATTCACCAGATCATCCAGTCAAATCGACTCCAAGTTTTCTATCTAAGGAAAACCAGTTCATTGCATCGACTCATTGACTCAAAGGCAGTCCCTCACACTAAGCATGCTTGTAGCGACAGCGGAGAGGAAAAACTCCCTTTTAACAGGAAGAAACCTCCAGCAGAACCAGGCTCAGTGTGAGCGGCCATCTGCTGAGGCCGACTGGGGTTCAAAGAGATGAAAGCAGAGATAGAAAAAGAAGAAGAGATACAAAAGCAACTGTAAAAGGCGGCCTCATCCATGAAACACACAGCCAGGCAGACGAGCTCCAACCATCTCCCATGTCAGAGGATGAAGAGAGCACATCCAGCCAGTCACAGTCAGAGACACAGGACTACACTGGAAAACAGGCAGATTTTCAACATCTATAAACAAAGGTGTTGATGGCAGCAGCACAGCTGATATTTCTCTCCAGGATGGAGTCACAGCCAAACAGGAACAGACGAGGCAAAGCTACTATGAGAAAAAGCAGAGAGAGCAGAACATTGATTGAACTAACGAATTCTGTAGAGTGGGAGAATAGAGAATAGAGTTCTGTTTTAAAGCACTTCCATGTCCAGGTTACTGTAAACTTTAGGGAGAAATCTTCTCCTCCTGGTTTACCAAAGGAATCCTTGTTGAGATGTTTTGGTTAATATGTGTGACAATGACTAAATATTGTTTTGATCTGCAGAGGGCGCACCTGTCCATCGGCAGTAAAATATTATCCTGATGTGTTTAAGTGCAGTCCGTTTTACAGGCTGTAACCAGGACGACAGACAGCTCATCTAAATAATAGATTTGTGGTTAAGCAAACCTTTTCCTTACAGGCCTGTTGAAGAACACATGGATAAAGGTGGAAGAAGCAGGAGCTCCATGGCTGCCCTAGACCACAGGAACAAACCAGACCTCTGGCTTTAGCATCCAGGTAAAGATTGCTCTTTTTCTGCTTCCAAACAGCACTGACCCTCAGACATTTCGGTTTTTCTTGGAAAAAGCGGTTACAATCATCCATCTGATTGTAACCACTCATGAACTCTAAATTTTTCTCTGGATGAGCTACTCCCGAATCCATTTCCTCTCCTCTGATGACTCCCACACCTAATTATGCATTGATCTCCCTAACTACTTTTAAAGCCTCTTCCCCTATATAGTATGGGGCGCCCTTTGTAAAGTCAAAAAATAAGGAGCAGTATTTATGGTTATTTAGCGTATTTTAAGAGAAAAATAAGGGGTTTATTTTTATTTATTTTTTTCCCTATGTAATTCATTCATTCATATAAATCGTACTTTGTTAAATAAATATGTAGTTTGCCAATAAATATTTAGTGTGTGAAATAAATATTTAGCTCCAAACAAAATATTTAGCTTTTTTAAATAAATATTTAGCTCCAAATTAAATATTTATTTAAAAAACTAAATATTTAATTGCCAAACTAAATATTTAGCTCCAAACTAAATATTTATTGAAGAAAGTAAGATTTTTATAAATGAATGAATGACAGTGAAAAGATGACTTTCTCCAGAATAGATGCTCGATCCACCTCAGCTGGCTCCTTTTGACGTGGAGGAGCAATGACGCTACTCTGAGCTCCTCCCAGGTAACTGAGCTCCTTTACGGATCTGGAAGGGTGCGCCCAGCCACCCTGCAACGGAAACTCATTTCGGCCGCTTGTATTCCCTGGTCTGCACACGCAGTTTCTGGCTGTAGGGATGTGAAACGTCACAGCCTTCACCTATCAGGATAAAATCCTTAGAGGTCTGGTAGACCCTGCTCTGGCCCAGTGGGTCCCAGTTTCGTCCTGTCCATGAAAACACCCGAATTTATGTGGAAAGAGTACACAGATTCTGTAGGGTGAAGGAACTGATACCACTGACGGTCCACCATGTTCCCCTGACCTAGAGCCATGTGCTGCCACCAGCTGAAGGCCACCCCTCAGACTTATCAGGAGCTCAGAGATGCCTTGAGAACAAGGACGAGATCTTCCAGGGCAGCTGCTAAACTGGACCAGCCTGCTGCTTCACTTCTCCGTTTTCATTCTTACTGATCTCTCTAGATTGAACGTTCTCATCAACGATGTGGCGTCCGGTTGGCCTTGACACATTAGCCAGTCGGGGTTTGTTTTTCAAACTGACATCTGATGTTTTCAGATCATTTGAACAGAATGCTCCTCATTATGCCCACATGTATTTCAGTCTTCTTTAGTTGTTGGCCTCTAAAAGAGATTGCAGGACCAGGGGCGGATTTAGGAAGGGGGTCTTCGGAATTGAGAGACAACACATAAAACAGACCCATTATACAGATAGAGAAATGTAATAGAATAGACATCCATTATTTGTTCTAGGTTTTGTCCCTCTCTTCTTGTCCCTTTTCTTGTTGTTTTCCTCTCTATGTTTTGTACTCAGCTGACTTTTCATGCTGTCTCAAAAGGAATGAAAGATTTTTTCCAAGCACTAAGCTCACTTAGCTGATTGCTCCTTCCTGTGTTTCCAAAAAGGCCAAAGTAAATAACCCAGTCCTTCTTTTCACTGTAGACAAGCCATGATCTGCTTCTCTGTTCTCCATTTTTCATTTGGATGAAATAATAGCTGCATGAATCATGACAGCAGACAAGATAGAGGAGAGCAGGAGGCGGGGTTACCAATCTACTGGCTCTGGAGAGCAGAGTTCGCTGCTTTTAGATGTTGTCTACAAAGTCTCCAGTAGCAGAAAAAAGTCGCTAGATTTGGCGCTAGGAGCTTTTTGTAATGAAAGTGCTAGAGGCATCTGAAAAGTCGCTAAATATACCGTTTTCCGTTTTCCATCCTGTGGTAGTAGATTAGACCCACTATGTTCTTTTTTTTTTTTTTTATGATAGCTAGATAGATGAAAACTGAACAAAACCTCAGCTTCACCCACCTGAATATTTGTGGAATAAACCCAACAATGAAGGAGGTCACAGCCATTTCACTACATGTTGAGATGTTTTCATGCTCCCTGTTCAGCCTGGATGCTTCAACCCCCCTGATTTATAAGGCTGCTGTAATCGAGTCTCTGTTCTCTTTGTCAACATCAGATCGAAATGGACTCACTTTGAGAAGAGGACCATGAGGTTCTAACAAGAACTTTGGAGACCTTAAAGAATACAAGATGAAGAGAGGAAGATGAGTGTGGAAAGTAGGATCAGTTGTAAGAGGCGAATGCGTAACGATGATTTTCCTGCTTCTGAACTCTGTATGAAGGTGGAAACGTTTGAGGCTACGCTGCATCGGTGGGACATTACACTTCATTACTGACGTTTGGACGGTACGGATGGTTTAGGAACAGATCGGAACCAGCTGCTGTTTTTTATGTAATGTTTTCAATGTCAATAAGTAAAGTTTTTTTTTTAGATGAATCCATGGTGACCCTGTATGATTACTCTGTTAATGACCTGGATTCCTGGGGGGTTCGGGGGGTTATGATCAGTACTCAAGTTAAAAAATTTTTTTTAAATCATCCCCTTCTTAAATGACCATCCACTGTGACATTTTATCACTGAATGTATAAAATCTCTATTATATATTAACAGTAGTGGCAATAGTATTGCCCTTTCAACATTTGGCAGGCTGTGGGCTTACGAGTAGCCTGACCAAATTACGGTGGCCTAGAGGGCACTAGTGATTTCATTTTTGACCTCAGTGGCTCAACCTGTGGAGCAGTTGACGGTGTTCTGGACAGCATCACGGCCAAGCGGCAAAGACAACGCGATTTGAGGGACTTTTTAAATAGGCAAAAACAATGCTTCAGGCAAGTCAAGAGTCAGAAGACATTAGCCTTTATAAGTTAGCCTTTATACTAGTTTGAAGCGAAAACATTTTTCTGTCTTTAAAGTTGTCATGAATGATAGACCAAACCTTATAAAGTGGATGGGAATAAAGTTTGGACATACAAACCACCACATGGCAGTGGCAGAAAGAGGACACTTTAGTTTCCTGCTCCTGTCTAGAATCCCGTCTGAGTTTCACAGAGTTGGTTCTTCATCCTGTGTGTCTCGATGGACCAGAGAGCTGTCCAACATGAAGACAAAGACAAAAACGTTACATTGATCAAGAACCCTAACATTCACATGAAAAGCATAAAGAAGGGATGGAATGAAAAGCCACATTTCTGTGAATTTATTGGATGAAAGAATCGACGATGAACAAATTCCCAAACATAAGAGAAACACTCAACCAGGTTTAAACCACACTGCCCTCTAGTGGATGACAAGGATTATCTTTTAGATTTAGCCGGGAAAAAAACAGCAGAAAGGTTTGAGATGAACGCTTGGAGTTCATATACAGATGCTGGTCATAAAATTAGAATATCATGAAAAAGTAGATTGATTTCAGTAATTCCATTTAAAAAGTGAAACTTGTATATTATATTCATACATTACATACAAACTCATATATTTCAGATGTTTATTTTGTTTAATTTTGATGATTACAAATGACAACAAATGAAAATCTCAAATTCATCATATCAGAAAATTAGAATATTGTGAAAAGGTTCAAAATTGATGGCCCCTGGTGCCACACTCTAATCAGCTAATTAACTCAAACCACCTGCAAAAGCATTTAAATGGTCTTTCAGTCTAGTTCTATAGGCTACACAATCATGGGGAAGACTGCTGACTTGACAGTTGTCCAAAAGACGACCATCGACACCTTGCACAAGGAGGGCAAGACACAAAAGGTCATCGCTAAAGAGGCTGGCTGTTCACAGAGCTCAGTGTCCAAGCACATTAATAGAGAGGCGAAGGGAAGGAAAAGATGTGGTCGAAAAAAGTGTAAAAGCAAGAGAGATAACCGCACCCTGGAGAGGATTGGGAAACAAAACCCATTCAAAAATGTGGGGGAGATTCACAAAGAGTGGACTGCAGCTGGAGTGAGTGCTTCAAGAACCACCACACACAGACGTATGAAAGACATGGGTTTCTGCTGTCGCATTCCTTGTGTCAAGCCACTCTTGAACCACAGACAGCGTCAGAAGCGTCTTGCCTGGGCTAAAGAGAAACAGGACTGGACTGCTGGTGAGTGGTCCAAAGTCATGTTCTCTGATGAAAGTAAATTTTGCATTTCCTTTGGAAATCAAGGTCCCAGAGTCTGGAGGAAAAGAAGAGAGGCACTTCATCCACGTTGCTTGAAGTCCAGTGTAAAGTTTCCACAGTCAGTGATGGTTTGGGGTGCCATGTCATCTGCTGGTGTTGGTCCATTGTGTTTTCTGAGGTCCAGGGTCAACGCAGCCACATACCAGGAAGTTTTAGAGCACTTCATGCTTCCTGCAGCTGACCAACTTTTTGGAGATGCAGATTTCATTTTCCAACAGGACTTGGCACCTGCACACAGTGCCAAAGCTACCAGTACCTGGTTGAAGGACCATGGTATCCCTGTTCTTAATTGGCCAGCAAACTCTCCTGACCTTAACCCCATAGAAAATCTATGGGGTATTGTGAAGAAGAAGATGCAATACACCAGACCCAACAATTCAGAAGAGCTAAAAGCCACTATTAGAGCAACCTGGGCTATCATAACACCTGAGCAGTGCCACAGACTGATCGACTCCATGCCACGCCGCATTGCTGCAGTAATACAGGCCAAAGGAGGCCCAACTAAATACTGAGTGCTGTACATGCTCATACTTTTCATGTTCATACTTTTCAGTTGGCCAACATTTCTATAAATCCTTTGTTTTTATTGGTCTTCAGTAATATTCAAATTTTCTGATATGATGAATTTGAGATTTTCATTTGTTGTCATTTGTAATCATCAAAATTAAACAAAATAAACATCTGAAATATATGAGTTTGTATGTAATGTATGAATATAATATACAAGTTTCACTTTTTAAATGGAATTACTGAAATCAATCTACTTTTTCATGATATTCTAATTTTATGACCAGCACCTGTATGACCAGGAGTCCTTTAACCTTCTGAGAAAGTGGTTTCACATGTAGAGCTCTTGATAAGTAGATCATGACAGTGAAATGTATTGTTACAACAGTCGTAGTCTGCAAAGAAGACCTTTAATAAACAGCTGAGGGGCAGCAGAGACTTTAGCATCACATCAGCAACAAAGCTAAGGCCTAAAAAGCAAAAGAGAAAAATGACACATCAGGAACTTTGCCAGGGACCCCATGAAAGAACTGCTATCAGGATGCACTGAAAAGTATAATTTACATTTTCACTGTAGGTTTTATCGCAAAATTTCTACAAAGGAAAATTATCAGAACACAAAAAGTTAAATATGCATTACCTTTAAACTCCCTAAAGTAAGCTGTGTTTTTTTTTGTGTTTTTTTTTTTTGAGGAGCAGTTCTTAAATAAAACAGTGGTTATTTCTGTCGGTGTCTGTCATTAATTGTGGCCTGAATAATATCTACCAAATTTGAGCAACAATGGAAATTGAAATTGTGCAGTTCTTAGATCTGTCCAATCCATCCCGTCACTCCGTCACACTATATTCCACCCTGTCACAGATGGATTTTTATTTTACAAAAAGGTCATTTATGTTCAAAGCAATTATACACATAGTTTATATTTGCAATAATGTAGATATTATGTAAGTTTAATTGTAGATTCTGAAGTCAGACTGTAAATTTTAGCAAAGAAAGTATGATCTCTTGCACAGTTCATTTATTTTTTAATGCTGTACATCAAATAAAAACATAAAAAAACACTTTAAACTAACTATTGGTATTTTTGAACAAAAAGACACTTTCTGAAGTGAATAACATTTTGTCTGTCTTACTTTTATCTAAAATTACCTTTGAATTTATTAACCTTTGTCCTGTGATGGGGTGGAAAAAGAAACTCTGATGTCCGGATATAATGTGCTAAAATACTCTCCGAAAATAGTGTCTGAGCTTGAAAAATATGTTTTATTGCGAGTGTTACATGTTCTATAGGCTATGAAACTAAAAAAAGGACAAAAATGTTTATGATAAAAACTTCTAAATTCAGAGGTCCAATCTTAACACTTTCCATGGAAGGACCCATATACTGGTGGATAAAAAACTTGCTCAATTTATTTGTGCCTTGTATCACTATTTACTGGTGAAAAATGAGGGAGAACATAGAAATTATTTATTTTACTGCTACTCTTTTTATATTTAAAATATATATTGGGACATATCTTTTCTTCTTTTGGGCCCTCTTAATCAAGGACCCTTAGAATCATCCTAACTCCCCCCCCCCCCCCCCCCCCCCCCCCCCGATATGGCGCCTCAGCACATCATACTGACAAAAATAACATTAAATAAAGA